CCAACCGATGTCGAAGAGATTCGAAGTTTCTTGGGATTGGCTGGATACTACAGAATGTTCATAGAAGGGTTTTCTAAACTTGCCAAGCCTATGACAGCTCTGTTGGAGAAGAATGCTAAGTTTGTGTGGTCTGAAAAGTGCCAGGTTAACTTTGAAGAATTGAAGAAGAGGTTGACTATCGCCCTAGTATTGGTTTTGCCAGATTTGAGCAAGAACTTTTCTATCTATTGTGATGCATCTCGTTAAGGTCTCGAATGTGTTCTTATGCAAGAAGGAAGAGTAGTGGCCTATGTATCCCGATAGTTGAGAAAGCATGTGCTAAACTATCCTACTCATGATTTGGAGTTAGCCGCAGTGGTTCATGCTCTAAAAATATGGAGGCACTATTTTATCAGACATAAGAGTGATATCTATACTGATCACAAGAGTCTGAAGTACATTTTCACTCAGACAGATATGAATATGAGATAGCATCGATGGTTGGAGTTGATTAAGGATTACGATCTGGAAGTACACTATCATCCTGGAAAGGCAAACGTTGTTGCCGATGCTCTTAGCAGGAAGAGTTATGCCAATGAGGTGCAAGTGATGCCTATGGCAAGCGAGTTGAGTGCTGAACTTAAGCAACTAAACTTGGGTTTCGTCACTAATGCAGTAGAGTTGGTGATAGAGCCTACATTGGAGCTGGAGATACGCAAGGGTCAGTTACAGGATAAGAGCTTAAAGGAGATAGCGGAGAACATAGTGATTGGTAAGGCACCAGGTTTCCATATGGATGATAATGAAACTCTTTGGTTTGGAAAAAGACTATGTGTGCCTGAGAATAAGGCTATACGAGATGAAATTCTTCATGAGGCACATGAGTCTGTTTACTCTATACATCCCGGGAGTACCAAGATGTACTTGGATCTGAAGGAGAAGTATTGGTAGTATGGACTTAAGAGAGATGTGGCCGGATATGTTGCTATATGTGATACATGTCAGAGAGTCAAAGCTGAACATCAAAGACTTACAGGATTATTACAACCAATGAAGATACCTAAGTGGAAGTGGGAAGAAGTTGGTATGGATTTCATTATTGGGTTACCATGCATTCAGGGAGGTTATGATTCAATATGGGTGATAGTGGATCGGTTAACTAAAGTTGCTCACTTTATACCGGTCAAGACTACTTATAATGGACCGAAGTTGGCCCAATTATATATGAAGAAGATAGTGTGTCTACATGGAGTTCCCAAGAAAATTATGTCTGATCGGGTTACTCAATTTACATCTTATTTTTGGCAGCAAGTACATAGTTCGTTGGGAACAAAGTTGAATTTTAGTACAGCATATCATCCTCAGACAGATGGACAAACTAAGAGAACTAAATAGATTTTAGAGGACATGTTGAAAGCTTGTGCGTTGTAGTACGATACAAGTTGGGATAAGAGTTTGCCTTATGCAGAGTTCTCATATAACAACAGTTATCAAAAGAGTCTGAATATGGCACCTTTTAAGGCTTTGTATGGACGAAAATGTAGAACACCATTGTTTTGGAATCAAATGGGAGAAACTCAAGTGTTCGGACCGGATGTTTTAAGAGACGCAGAAGAGAAAGTAAGGATGATTAGAGATAACTTGAGAGTGGCACAATCTCGACAGAAGAGTTATGCTGACACTCGGAGAAGAGAATTGGTTTTCAAAATAAGGGATTATGTTTACCTAAAAGTGTTACCAATGAGAAGTGTGAGAATGTTTAACATGAAAGGAAAATTAGCACCAAGGTATATTGGGCCTTTCAAAATTATAGAGACATGGAGAAGTGGCTTATCAGTTGGAATTGCCTGAGAGTTTGTCAGGTGTACATGATGTGTTTCAAGTGTCTCAATTAAAGAAGTGTTTGGGTGTACTGGAGGAGCAGATACCGTTAGAGGAGCTTACAGTTAAGGAATATCTCACTTATGAGGAATTTCCGGTAAAGGTTTTAGCCCTAAAATCTTCGTTTTAACTCCGATTTGATCCGTTCAAGTTGCGTTAGATTCATAATTGCATAATCTACTTGTTCATACTACTGTTAAGTATGTTTTCAACTTTTGAAATTTGAGGTTAGATTTAATTTATTATTTTATTAAAGGAAATCTTGTTTAATTCATAACTTATTCGTTTTAGCTCCGATTTTTGTGATTTTCGCGTCTGTGTGTTCATAGCGAGACGTAGATTCGTTTTACAAACTATTTATCTTGATTTTATGCTATTGGTATACTATTCTAATCTATAGCCTTTGTTTGCTATGCATGATTGCTTCTGGATGCTTGTATGTTGCTGTGATTATCGCGTATAGACGGTGAGCAATTCGTGGGTGATCAAGAATACTACTTTGATGAGCAGGATCGGCAGGAACACTTTGTTCAAGGTAAGTATAACATGGGATCATCCTTGTTTCCTATCAACTTTAATACATTTAATTCATATTGCATGTGTCATCTTGATAGGGATTCTCTAAAATTGAACTTATACCTTGTCTCCTATGGGATATGCATTGGGTAGCTTTGCTAGTGCTCAACTAAACCATGATCTTGTAACTTGACTAATGGTATAAGCAATAAACATTAAAACATGACTTTTTAGCAACTTGAAAATAGGGGGCTAGAGTATTTAGCTACTTTGTAAATGCTTCAGATTCCTCTTCCTAAGGACTTATCTGTAAGTGATTATCCAGGACTTACAGTACAACTGTGAGGGCCACATGGCTCTGGCTTTAGCTCAGTATGAGGACCTTTTCTAGCTTGTTAGATGTTACCTTTATGGCGTAAGAATGGCTTGCCCAATTGAGTATAGGACAGCCTCTACTCTTATGTGTATAGTCGTGATGGAATTATGCCATTCGACAGAGGGTTCCTATATCTGTTTGCCGAGTGAATCTAATGGCCCTAACTTGTTAGACGAACCTTTGAAAGACTTCATAGTGAACCCTGTCTGCTCACCTTGGGAGTGTTTTGGGAGTAGTTAACCCGGGCATATGGGTATCACGATTCACAGTGAAAGTGTACAAGCTCTATAGAGTGTAAAACTGGTATATCAGCCATGCTCATGGTTACGAGCGGTCTTGGAACCCTTGTGGAATAGATTATCACTAAGAATTACCTGTTTATGCTATTCATTATTCATGTATACAACGATCATGTGTTTACTATAGGATTAAAACAACTTGTTGCTACTCTTATGCTAAAAATTTGAAAATTAAAAGCTAAATGATGTTAAACCTGTGTCAAGCCTTTTGAGCCTCATGAACCCCATGTTACACTTGTTGAGTACGACCCATACTTACGCTTGTTTATTTTTATTATTTGGATAAAAATCCCGGATGGGTAACAGATGGCTATGATAATGACGACTTTTCTGAGGATTAATAGACTTGTGGTCAATCAGTTGATATCCCTGTGATATGAAGCTTCGCGAGAGATTTTTTTTCTTTATACTTCCGCTATATTTATGTGAAGACTCCGTCTTATTATATATGATGTAATAAACACTTGTGATGGTACTATCTATAATTTATTGGCTTATGTGTGTGACTAATCTCTAGACGCACATAAGATTATGCATCTCATTTTATCCTTAAAATCGGGTGTGACAACCTCCGTCCTAAAAAGAATAATTCTAAGTATGAATTGTCGGGGGTGTTTGATACAGGGACTAAAGTTTAGTCCTTGTCACATCGAATGTTCGGATGCTAATTAAGAGGAATAAACATAAGCTAATTATAAAACTAATTACACATATGAATGCTAATTCGTGAGAGAAATCTATTAAGCCAAATTAATCCATCATTAACACATGTTTACTGTAGCACCACATTGTCAAATAATAGACTAGTTAGGCTTAATGGATTCGTCTTGCAAATTATTAGCCTCCATCTATGCAATTAGTTTTTGTAATTAGTATATATTTAATACTCCTAATCAGTAACCAAACATTGGATGTAACAGATACTAAACTCAAACACCGTTGTATTCTTTTTTTTACGAAAAGAGTATACCACAAGAATGATGTCATCATCATGCTTAGATCTTTTTTTTCTAAAGCTTGAGTTTATCTAAAAACAAAGAAATCAGAAAAAAATCATGTTTTGGTGGTTTTGATTTCTAGCGTCCACAATAACTTTGGTTTTACCATTTTTTGTTTGATTTTGGTTTTTGAAGCGTATGACAGGACTTAAAATCGGTAGAGAGAGCCTAACCAAAAGCCTTTCCAAAATCATCTTTAATGTTCACTTGAATTTATTAGCCCAGCTTATCAGTCATGATACAATGTTTTTTCTTATAACAAAACAATACTAACGGATTTATCGGCTATAAAAACCATCAGCCGAATTCAAGTGACCGTGAGTGCCCTTTTAACGGCGTCGACAAGTCTAACGGACACCAACCAGCGAACCACCAGCGCCGAGCCAAGCGAAGCCGACGTCACGGCCGAGATGTTGACACCTTGGCGCGGCTTCTCTCTGGCCCCTATCGAGTCTCGAGAGTTCCGCTCCACCTCCACCGGTGGCGGTTTCCAAGTCTGTTCCGCCTCCTGCTCCTCTCACACGGCACGAAACCATCACGGCACCGGCAGCACACGGGGGATTCCTTTCCCACCGCTCCTACCCTTTCCCTTCCTCGCCCGCCCGCTATAAATAGGCAGCCCCCTCCCCAGCTTCTTTCCCCAATCTCGTCTTATTTCGTGTTGTTCGGAGCACACACACAACCCGATCCCCAATCAATCCCCTCGTCTCTCCTCGCGAGCCTCGTCGATCCCCGCTTCAAGGTACGGCGATTATCCTCCCTCTCTCTACCTTCTCTAGACTAGATAGATCGGCGATCCATCGTTAGGGTCTACTAGTTCCGTTCCCGTTTTTCCATGGCTGCGAGGTACAATAGATCTGATGGCGTTATGAGGTTAAGTAGTCATGCTCTTGCGATTTTTAGTCCTTTAGGACATTGATTTAATTTCGGATGGTTCGAGATCGGTGATCCATGGTTAGTACCCTAGGCTGTGGAGTCGGGGTAGATCCGCGCTGTTAGGGTTCGTAGATGGAGGCGAGCTGTTCTGATTGTTAACTTGTCAGTACCTAGGAAATCCTGGGATGGATGGTTCTAGCTGGTTCGCAGATGAGATCGATTTCATGATCTTCTATATCTTGTTTCGTTGCCTAGGTTCCGTTTAATCTATCCGTGGTATGATGTTAGCCTTTGATATGGTTCGATCGTGCTAGCTACGTCCTGTGCACTTAATTGTCAGGTCATAATTTTTAGCATGCCTTTCTTTTGGTTTGGTTTTGTCTGATTGGGCTGTATATCAGAGTGTATACTGTTTCAGACTACCTGTTCATTTATTTATTAAATTTGGATCTGTATGGGTGTCACATATTTTCATAATTATGATGGATGTAAATATCTCTTCATCTTTCAGATATAATATGGATAGGTATATATGTTACTGTCGGTTTTACTGGTACTTTGTTAGATATGCACATGCTTAGATACATGAAGCAACATGCTGTTACAGTTTAATAATTCTTGTTTATCTAATTAACAAATAAGGATAGGTGTATATGTTGCTGTGGGTTTTACTGGTACTTTGTTAGATATATACATGCTTAGATACATGGAGCAACATCCTGCTACGGCTTAATAATTATTGTTCATCTAATAAAAAAGCATGCTTTTTAATTATTTTGATATACTTGGATGATGGCATCAGCAGCTATGTGTGGATTTTTGGCCCTGCCTTCATATGCTGTTTATTTGCTTGGGACTGTTTCTTTTGTTGATACTCACCCTGTTGTTTGGTGATCCTTCTGCAGATGCAGATCTTTGTGAAGACCCTGACCGGCAAGACTATCACCCTCGAGGTGGAGTCTTCTGACACCATTGACAACGTTAAGGCCAAGATCCAGGACAAGGAGGGCATCCCCCGACCAAGTTAGCGGCTCATCTTCGCCAAGCAAGCAGCTCGAGGACAAAGCACACTTGCCGACTACAACATCCAGAAGGAGAGCACCCTCCACCTTGTGCTCCGCCTCGTGGGAGGCATGCAGATCTTCGTGAAGACCCCGACCGGCAAGACTATCACCCTCGAGGTGGAGTCTTCGACACCATCGACAATGTCAAGGCCAAGATCCGGGACAAGGAGGGCATCCCCGAGCAGCAGGCGTCTCATCTTTCTTGCAAGCAAGCGGCTTGAGGATGGGGCGACGCTTGCAGACTACAACATCCGGAAGGAGAGCACCTCCACCTTGTGCTCCGCCTGGGGAGGCATGCAGATCTTCGTGAAGACCCCGACCGGCAAGACAATCACCCTTGAGGTTGAGTCTTCGATACCATTGACAACGTCAAGGCCAAGATCCAGGACAAGGAGGGCATCCTCCCGGACCAGTGGCGTCGATCTTCGCCGGCAAGTAGCTCGAGGACGGGCGCACTCTTCTTGATTACAACATTCGAAGGAGAGCACCCTCCACTTGGTGCTGCGTCTCGGGGAGGCATGCAGATCTTCGTGAAGACCCTTCTTGGCAAGACGATTACCCTTGAGGTGGAGTCCTCGGACACCATCGACAATGTCAAGGCCAAGATCCGGGACAAGGAGGGCATCCCACCGGACCAGCAGCGGCGTCGATCTTCGTCGGCAAGCAAGTAATGGAGGATGGCCGCACCCTTGCGGATTACAACATCCGAAGGAGAGCACCCTCCACCGGTGCTCCGCCTCGTGGGTGGCATGCGAGATCTTTGTGAAGACATTGACGGGCAAGACCATCACCTTGGAGGTTGAGAGCTCGACACCATCGACAACGTGAAGGCCAAGATCCGAGGATAAGGAGGGCATTCCCCTGCATCAGCAGTCTCGATCTTCACTGGCAAGCATCTAGAAGATGGACGTACCCTTGCCGACTACAACATCCGGAAGGAGAGCACCCTCCACTTGGTGCTCCACCGAGGGGTGGTATGCGAGATCTTTGTGAAGACCTTGACTAGCAAGACCATCACCCCGGAGGTTGAGAGCTCGACACCATCGACAACGTGAAGGCCAAGATCCGGGACAAGGAGGGGATTCCCCTGCACCAGCAAGGTTCCGATCTTCGCCGGCAAGCGGTGGAGGATGGCCGCACTTTGCGGACTACAACATCCAGAAGGAGAGCACCCTCCACCTGGTGCTCCATCTTCGCGGTGGTCAGTAAGCCATCAGTCGTTGAAGCTGCTGCTGTACCTGCGTCTGTCTGGTGCCCTCTGGTGTACCTCCATATGGTGGTTGTCGTCTATTAGGTATCTGTGGTTTGTGTCATGAGTCATGACTGAGTTGGTTTAAAGGACCGGTTGTGTCCTGATTGTGTCATACCCAAAACTGTTCTGCAGCAGTATGGCTTTGTCATGAATAAGTTTGATGTTTGAACTTAAAAGCTTGTGCTCAATATTGTTTGTTAAGGTTATATCTCCTAATATTTGCCTGAGATCAAATTTGATTTGCTGGTTTCTATTACCTCCAGGTTCTCGCTATCTATCATTTCTTACTGAATGGTAACTAGGTTCTATCAAGCTCAGTTTTTGACTCTGGCTTACAGCTTAACAAGTTTGATGGTTTGTTGGATGTTAACTTGGTTCTGTCAAGCTCAGTTTTTTACTCTGGCTTACTGCTTAATATGTTTGATTGTTTGGTTTGTTGCTATGTTGTTGGGTTCTGATTGCTAGTTCTTGTTGAATCCAAAAGATCATGTAGTATTCTGCTGAACCATTTTATTTATTTGAGTGATCCATGTTATTACTGTGAAGGAATCTACTTAGATTTTTCTACAAGGGTAAATTTTTTGGATGCTTCAGTGTTTCTGTGATCATTATGTTTTCTGGAGACAGTAATGCAGGACAGCAACTTGATCACATCAACTGAATTAGACAACACAGAACAAGGTTCTTTATCTCACCAAAACATTGGAGAATACACAGCACCATATACGCACATGCTTCCCAATCTTAGTTCGAGAAATTTAAGCACAAAATCTCAAAGGTGTCTTCACTCTTTGGACTGAGTTGGGTTTAATGGACCGGTTGTCCTGGTGTGGTCTACCCAAAACTGTTGTGATAGCTTAAATCATGAGTAAGTTGTGATGTTTGAACTAAGCTTGCTGGTTGTTCTCAGTTACTTCTTCTCTTATAAATAATTCGTTAGGACAAATTTGTTTGGCTGGTGTTCATCAAGGTTCCTTAGCTGTCTACCGAGGATAAATTTTTTTTGGCTGGTGTTCATCAGACATCCAGGTTCCTAGGTAGACATATAAATTAGTTTGGCTGGTGCCCTATCAGAACTGCAAATTCTAGGCTATCTAACTACTGGATCTGGAAAGCTCTGTTTTTTACTCTGGCTTACAGTTTGTTGCTACTGGGATCTGATTGCTAGTTCTTGTTAAATCCAAAAGATCGTGTAGGATTGTGCAGAATAGTATTATTTATATAAGTAGTCCGGATTCATATCTTATTATTACTCTTAAGAGTAAATTGCACGGTCGGTCCTTAAAGTATTGAGTGGTTTTCATCTAGGTCACCAAACTATGAAATCGCACGTTTGGCTGCCTAATGTATTTAAGTAATCTCATCTAGGTCCAAAATAGACATGAGGAGGGTTAGAAGCTGACGTGGTCGTCCACGTGGACATGATTTGAACATAAAGACTCGAGCCGAGGGTCCCACGGTACCCGGTGTCCACTCCCACGGATTTGCATGAGCAGGTGCTGCTGCTTGGTCACGCGTTCCAGCAACGCGTCCTTGAGCGCCACGGCCCAGCAGCGGGTCCGCCCGGCGTCCCGCGCGAGCGCCCACATGAGCGGCTGCAGCGCCGCGCCGCCGCGCGCGCCAGCGCGAACAACCCCGCCGCGCTCCCGTAGTCCACGGACCGCTCATCGTGGCTGGTCACGCGGATCACGGCCGCCTCCAGCTCAAGTCTCCTCAGCGCCGGCGCGGCCACCACGGAGGCTGGCCGTGGCCGCAGCGCCGCCACGCGTGTCAGGTGGCGCGGTAGGTCTCGTCGTGGAGCTTGCGATGCCGCAGGTGGCGCCGCCGGGGAGGAGCGGTTGTCGGACGCCGACACGACGGCATCATCTACGGCCACACCCAAATCCAGCCTGTCTCGCCTGTGGGCAACCCCACGGCAGCCGCCATCGCTCACGTCCTCAACAGCCGGCGCGAGTTCCCTGCCGCGGCCACCATTGATGACCTCCTCGTCATGTCCATCAGCACGGGGACGTCACCGGCGAGATCCGCGTCCTCAACGGCACGACGGCCAACAGCACTGCCGCATCGCCGCTGCTCTGGTCCTCCAGGAGTCCCTCGGCGTCCACCACGTTGTCCGCGCAGGCCGCCGTGGGCGAGCATGGCCGCTCCTCCTCGTGCGCAGGCCACCGCGGGCGAGCGCCGCCACTTTGCTCAAGCACGGGTCGCCGTTGGGGAGTGCTTGTGCTCGGACTAACGGAGGAGGTCGCGACTTGACGTCCGTGTACGCATAGGGAAGTGGACACCCATGGTGGCCACCAGCATGGCCTACTACGCCATCCCGCTCGTGTCCGTCATGTTCGCCGGGCGCCTCGGCGACCTGCAGCTCGCCGCCGCCTGGAGACGCTGTGCGGGCAAGGGTACGGCGCGCGGGCGTACCGAACGATGGGCGTGCACCTACAGGCTTCCCTGCTCACCTCGGCGCTGGCCTCCGCCGTCGTCTCCCTCCTCTAGCTCTACTCGGAGCCGCTGCTGGTCTTCCTCGGCCAGGACCCGGAGACGTCGCGCCTGGCGGCCGACTTCCTCCGCCAACTATGTGAAGCCATTCTCCGTGGACTACATCTTCATCGCGCCGGGGCAGACGGTGACCGCTCTGCTCACAGCCGACCACGCCTCGCGTGGGCTGCTGAACGCCTTGTACTACATGGCCGCACGGCCGCTGTTGCCGAACAACCCGTTCGTCATCTTCAACAACAGCACCGGCACTGCCGGCCATCAACGACAGCGCGGCGGCATCCTCCGGTGGGGCGGCACCGGACCCGGAGTTCCCCGTCCTGCCGGCCATCAACGACAGCACGGCGGCGGACGCGTACACGTCGCGCCTACGGTCGCTCGCCAGCGAGGAGCACCCGGTGAACGTGCCTCGCCACGTCCAGGAGCACATGCTCGTCACCCTCGCGGTGAACATGATCGTGTGCTCACCCAACGAGCACTGCCAGGGACCCCGATGGGGACGTTGCATGTCTCAGGTGTTTTCTGTTCAAATCATGTCCACGTGGATGACCACGTCAACTTCTAATCCTCCTCGTGTCTATTTTGGACCTGAATGAGATCACTTAAATACATTAGGTAGCTAAACGTGCGATTTCATAGTTTGGTGACCCAAATGAGAACCGCCGAATGCTTTAAGGACCGGCCGTGCAATTTACTCTACTCTTAATAAGTGTGGTTATTTTTTTGACGACGGTAAATTTCCGGAGGCTTCAGTGTTTCTGTGATCATAATTCATTTGGAGGCTGTGGCTTTATGTTTTCTGGGTAACTTGATCACATCTACTGAAGTAGTAGACACAAGGTTCTTTTATCTCACCAAACCATTGAGCACTGTAGAATCTCGTTGGCTGCTTAACCCCCCACCCCACCCCACCACACCACACACACACACACACATGCACTGTCCACTGAAATTTTTCATCTCTGTTTCTTAGCATTTCTACCAGACGTATAAAAGTAATGTTAACTTGTTGAATGTATACTCAATCTGACAGATTGGCCCCCGTCTTGGTTTGGCACCACGCTCCGCCATGTAGGTGATGCACATGCTTGCCAATCTCGGCTCACTCCTCTGCAAAATGTTGATTGATCTTACAGTATGTCACAAGAATGATAGCACAAGAAAAAATCTGCAAACTGTAATGCAATTGTAATGCTTAAATCAATGCAGAGGAATGAAACGTATATATGGTCGAGATGATGTCTTTCAGCGTTCCTTTTGCTGCTAACCCAGTGATGATTTTAGCGAAATGTTAAACAGATTTCTTAGCTTACTATATAGATAAAAAATTGTGGCTTCAAAACGAGTAAAAAATTGCTCCACCTTAATAAAACAAAAAGAATGTTTAATTTGCTCCACTAATTTAAACTAATGTTATCTATTGAGAATTGTGAAGGAGGTTGTCGGTTTCCAGGGGGAAGCTTGTATGGGACTCCAGCAAAGCAGACGGCATAACCAGGAAGGCAGGAAGCTCATGGATAGCTGCAAGAGAGGGTTGCCGTAATGTGTCAAATACTGCATGGTAACTGCTAGAAATTTGGCTTATGCTGATGCTTATGTTGAAATGTTGTGAGAGGAAAACACTGTTCCATGGCTGAAAAGTAGCTCAAGTGAACAAGGCTCAGTTGACATTGAACACTCCTTGTTGATTAAATACAGTCTTACGACCAAAACTGATGGATCATGGATGGATGTTCTTGGCCTATAAACAATTGCTTCCTGATTGAGCAGGCTCAGTTTGATTTTTTTTTAAATATCACATTGTTTTGAGGAAAAAAAAAACAGTGCTTCATGTCCTTTAATCTGTACTCTACTGATCCCTATTGAAGAGCCTTTGATCAAAGGGCACTAAATTGTCTGGGCAAGCTCTGGTTTGCATTTATCTGATTTTTGTTTGCGTCAGTTAATATTGTCTAAAGAATAAATGTGCTGGCTTTTGAGTTTTGTTTGGCTGGTGTTCGTCGAATCGAACCTTCAGGTTCTGGCTGTCTCCAGTTGAATTTCTTGCTGGATGTACACTTCAGGTTCTGTTTTGCCTGAATGTTAGCAAGAATTTTCAGGTTCGAATGTTGGACTAGTGGTCACATAGACAGTAAGTCTTTTATCTCACAAAAAAACTGCAGAACGATTCTGGAAATTGTGCGACACCGACACACCGTAGGTAAGGTTTGCTGAAGCTGGAGGACACGCCATTGTAGAATTCCAGTGCCTGCTCATCCACTCATCAGAATGCACACAGCGGCTACAGACAATGCACTGGTTAGGTTACTACAATAGTTGATGCATTCACGCACATGGTTGCCAGTCTTAGAAAAGTTTTATTCGAGAAATCTAAGCATATGATTTCACATCACATTGCATGGAACGAACCTACAGCTTTGTTACACTCTTCTCCACTCAGCAAGTCATTCTTGGAGGAGCTGCTTCCCTCGGTAAAAAGAGCTACATACGGTGTGGCCCTCAAAACTGAAAGGATACTGGAAGGAAATCTTTGCCTTTTGATCGGCTCACTCTTTCTCCTCTTCTCTGACCTTTCTCTACAAAGCTGTTGATCGATCAATCTTATCTTATGCCACAAGACCCACAAAGGGGTGATGATGTGCAGCCCCAGAAAACTTTTTGCAAATTGCATGCTCAACGCGATGCAGAGGAATCATAATCAAATGCCTACACGATCAAATTATCCCCTCTTAACTTGCTGTCAAAAAGCTGATTCTACTTGCTTTGCTAATTAACCCAACGACTGTAGCCAAATGCTGGACAGACTTGTGGAATTGTGTGATGAAGAACAGAACAGAAACAACACTTTCGCTGATTAGCGGGTTGTCGGTGACGCTCCATGGAAGCAATGTACTACTAGTAAAGAAGTAAGATGATCTGAAAGATGTGATGATGAGCCACAGAAAACTGGGCAAAAGAAGGCCATAGGGCCTTTGAGGCCATTGCAGGAAAGGATCCTGTTCTTTTCTTGCTCTTTCTTCCATCCACAAACGTCGATGGTCGATGCCTCCACCGCAACCGCAGCCATGATGAGGATTGGAAAAGAGACCACACACCGTGTGGTCTTGGCTTCGTCAATGTGCCGCTGCATGTGGGGCCACACATCTCTTTCCCAGCTTCAGAATCACATTCCTGATGGGCGCACACGGCACACGCACACGTGCTGGCTGGGTGTGGCTCTGGGAGAGGGAGAGTGCGAGTGGACCATACATATGAAAGCGCTACGAAACTTAACCGGGATGCAGCTTGCGACCTCTACCATAGTTTGATTCTCTTAGACCAGACCGACTCTCTACTGCTTCTGCAAGAAATCCTATCGAATATTTATCATTGCCGTGTATGTGCAGCTGCTAGTGCACTAGTACTAGGCAACCTGTCTTTTTTTTATCTCAATAATTCCTGTTCATTTGAACTTATCAGCCGGCTTATCAGCTAGAATCGTATTTTTCTCTCACAACAAAACAGCTTCAGCCGGCTTATCAGCCAGCTTTAATACCAGCCGAACAAGCCAGTATTGGCTCTGCATATGTCAGTGTTAAGTAAGCACCGGAATCTAGACCAACACAAAACAAAGAAAACATTCCATGTATTTATAGACCATCCCAGTTCAGAGACTTGTGTAGACTTGCTGTACTCTGCGCCACACACGGCTGCTGCCTGATAGTGTGCAGAGTCACAAACCAGCAGGCCAAGTGAGTGAACATTGTGTCGGCTAGGTAGGCGGCAATGGCGGCGAGCACCAGGAGGCGGCACAGCGGCAGGATGGCCGTGCCGGCGCCGGTGGTTCTTGGAGTGGCCATGGTCGTCGTCGTCCTGGCCAGCAGCGCGACCGGCGCGAGCGGGCAGCTGAGGATGGGGTTCTACGCCGAGAGCTGCCCCGGCGTGGAGCGGATGGTGGGCGACTTCGTCCGCCAGCACGTCCGCCGCGTGCCCACCATCGCCGCCGCGCTGCTCCGGCTGCACTTCCACGACTGCTTCGTCAGGGTACGTGACTGCGTGCGTGCGTCCATCGCATGGCGTGCCAGTGCCAGTGCACGCACTGACCGTGTGCATGTGTCCCGTCCCAGGGCTGCGACGCATCCGTCCTGCTCAACTCCACCGCCGGCAGCGTGGCCGAGAAGGACGCGCCGCCGAACCTGACGCTGCGCGGCTTCGACTTCGTCGACCGCGTCAAGACCCTCGTCGAGGAGGCCTGCCCCGGCGTCGTCTCTTGCGCCGACGTCCTCGCGCTCGCCGCCCGGGACGCGGTCGTCGCCATTGTGCGTGAGCGTACTTCTACTCTGGTGCCTCGATAGATGGACCATCCACCATGCATGAGCTGACAATTCAAGTGCTCGATCGATCGGACTTGGCAGGGCGGGCCGTCGTGGCGCGTGCAGACGGGGAGGAGGGACGGCACGGTGTCCACCATGCAGGACGCGCTCAACGACATCCCTAAGCACACCATGACATTCCCGGAGTTGGCCAACCTGTTCGCCAGCAAAGGCCTCGGCGTCCGTGACCTCGTCTGGCTCTCAGGTACTCACCTCTACTACATGACTAATCTGTAATCTCCTCTTCACATGGCAGTAATAAACCTGAAAATATCTGTCACTAGACGTGGATCATGTATTTTATACTCGTAATAAAGCATCATGTATTATATACTCGTAATAAAGCATGCTTAAGTACATATCAGTAAAAAAAGATCAGGGATTATTCTTGCAACTAGATCAAACGTGAATTTCACAAAAGTTCGATCGGAGGGAGATTAAAAAAAAATAGAAAGCCGGCCGGTTTGGTTGAAACTTCAGAGAGAGGCGTAGGCCGGACACTGAGCTGAGATAGCCTGGTTCTGATTGCCCATTCCTTGCATGTTGATTGGGCAACAGCAGTACATGCAAAAGCAGCACGAATAATGGTTGCTTTCGCTGCCACTCTTAAACCGGATCGCCAGATTCCTTCAGAGAAATCATCCAAGTTTACTTTCAGCTCCGATCCACTCATGCCTACCAGCTTCCTGTCCTCTCGATATGTCCGCATCAGATGCTCCTGAGCACTGAGCCACTGACCATTCCTGATTCCTCTGAAATGAAATTCCTGAACTAGAGCTGTTCTTGAATATTGTGTTTTCTTTTTTTGGGGTAAAGAAAACAGTGCCGCGCCTGAATTGTGTTTGTGCATAGGTCAGAACATTAACTTCTCCATTTTGACTGTTTTTTTTCCTCCAAGAAATCAAACTGTTCATCAGCAACTCGAAAATCAGCTGAAAGAAAATGCGTAGAGACAAGTGCTCAAATATTTCATTCAGTTCAGGCTGTTTTGTAGTATTTGTACGGTCAGTGTTTCTGACATGCGGAATTGATGCGACTGATCGAGCAGGCGCGCACACGATCGGCATCGCGCACTGCTCGTCCTTCGCCGACCGCCTCTATGGCTACCCCGGCGCCGGCGGCAACGACACGACGGACCCGTCCCTGGACGCGACCTACGCCGCCAACCTGCGCCGGCGCAAGTGCCGGGCGGCGAGCGGCGGGTACGCCGAGGACGCCGTGGTGGAGATGGACCCGGGCAGCCACCTGACGTTCGACCTGGGCTACTACCGCGCGCTGCTCAAGCACAGGGGCCTGCTCCGCTCCGACGCCGCGCTGCTCACCGACGCGGCGGCGCGCGCCGACGTCGAGGGCGTCGTGGGCGGGCCCGAGGAGGTCTACTTCCAGGTGTTCGCGCGGTCCATGGCCAGGCTGGCGACGGTGCAGGTCAAGACCGGAGCCGAGGGGGAGATCAGGAGGAACTGCGCCGTCGTGAACGGCGGCTAAGTAAATTGCCTTTTTCCATTCGTCTTTGCTAGTGAATACTGTGATTTTGCTCAGACATTTGGCTGATTTACACTTGGTACGATTATTATGTTCAAAATTTTGTTACGCTTGATCTTGTTGTTAGAGTGTTACTTGTGATGTTGATGGTTTTGTATGGCAACGTACTAACAGTATATTATGAATTATGTAGACTAAAGTTAACAACAAAATCTAAATAATCAGGTCCTCTTAAGGCGAGCACTATATGTCAGGTCTCATACTATATCTCATGCAGTGATAAGTAGGACTTTTTTTTTAACTTGGAAGAAAGAAAGAAAAAAAGAGAAACATCACGAAACAACTGTGTTACGAGCTAAAATTTATGACTACCAGACAATTATCCCACTATTGTATGAGTTGTATACAACTCATAACTTTACTTTTACTTCGTGAATAAATTAAAAAATTACGAGTTACAATGAAACAAGTTAATCATTGTACGTGTTATCCATTAAATTATCTTAAAATTACATGGTATTGTATTTCTTTTTAATGGTACGCACCAATGTACTTCTTAGACCTGAGGACCTAAGACGTCAAGATACTATTTGAAATCATGTAGATTTCTAGATCGAATTGAAGATCTTTATATACTGTGAGATTATAATCTTTTAAATTTTAATGTCAACATAAAAAATATATAAACTTTGTCGATTAAATCGTAGAATCAATTCCTCTAATTCATACGGTGCCATAGCCATGCCCAACCGCGCCGCTGCCGGCCGAGTACCACCACCCGGTCGCCCGCCGCTGCCCCGCCCCGGCCGGATCCGGCATCTCCGCCGCCTCTCCGACCCATCTCACCCCACAGGCCGGCCTCCTCCCCGCCTCTCTCGCGCGCGCCGGCACTGGAAGGGAAGGGCACGGGGGCTTCGCCCCTGGCGCCTCACTCTCGGTCCCAGCCTCCTCTTTGCCGCACCCCTCAATGTCCAGGACCGGCCCCTCTCCGGCTCTCCCTACCTAGCACGGGGGCAGCGGCTCCATAGCGGCCCCACAAAACAGGAGCCCCTACTCAGGCAAGCAGGAGCCCTGATTTATAGGATTACTGCAAACGCTCGTTCAAAGCAACCAACTGAAGGTGTGTGCTTTTTAGCAGCTCTCGCTTTTGGCTATTCAATTGGCCGCCTAAGACAATTTTTATGGTGGCAAACAAGCAGGCTATTAACCTACCGAAGAAGCGAAGAAGCAGGATTATCTACTCAGGTTGCATGGACACACATGAATCAGGGATTATATGCATACATGACTGATAGAAACCAGAGAATAAACCAGTGTTAATGATACAGACATACAGTAATAAGCTAGTAAAGCCACCTTTTATGCCCTTAGCACACCTGAGGAGAACTGCAGATCATGCAACTATAATAGAACTCTTGAGACACGCACAAGTGGCTAAACAGAAACCAAAGTACTCTGTTCTCAGTTGTGCTTCATCGTTTTTCTGGGCAAGCAAATAGGACAGCCACTCTAAACTAAAGGTCGATCCTTCGCTTCCTTACTTCCCTCGGGGTCTGCATCCAGTAGGGTACGTGGTCCCAAAAGACTGCACAAGTTTATTTTGCTTGGCATCAATGGAACTGAAGAAAGCAAACCTCCGGGACTTGCAGAGGAACAATGCTCCAAACCACAACCAGAACCCGAAGACAACACCAGCAATTATTGAGTAGTATAGCCATATGATTTCAAGATCTTGGCGGTGTTCATTTACCCTATCCAAGGTATGGTTTTCACAAGCAATGTTTAGGGGAAAACCACAAAGTCCTGGATTGTTGCTGTATATAGAGGGATCAACAAGCGTTCTGAGTTGATTTCCAATAGGTATCCCTCCTGACAAATTGTTGTTTGAGAGATTTAGTGAATTGAGAGACGAATATGACATGCTTAAAGGAATAGGGCCTGAAAGTTTGTTCCAAGAGAGGTCAAGTGATTCTAAAAGTGACAGATCGCCAATCTGTTCTGGGATACCAGCAGATAGATAATTTCTTGACAGATTCAGCATACGGAGACCCTTTAATTCTGTCAACTCTGAAGGAATTCCACCAGAGAGAGAATTGCAAGACAAATCAATAGCAGCCATAAAGTCAGCTGATGACTGAAAAATATAATCTCTTCCTTTCCAAACTATGTCAACATCGCCATATGCATATGTTTGAATCCCAGTGTTGATGCTTTCTTGCTGCATCATGGATTGCTTCCACATTGAAGATAAGTTGGCCAATGTTTTTGGTATTGAACCTGTTAAATTGTTTTCAGCTAGATCAAGCACATGGAGATAGGAGAGCTGCGAAAGTTGCCTGGGAATATTTCCATTGAATAAATTTGAACGCAGTCGGAGAATCCACAGCAAAGGATTGCTCTCATGTCTCCACGGAGGAATCATTCCAAAAAACTTATTGTTTCCAAGATCCAAAATTTCTATGCTTTTCAAGTTCTTCAACAATGCTGGAAGGCGTCCAGTGAAGTTGTTGTTGGATAGGTGTAGTGACATTAGTGAAGAGGATGTAGAGTTAATCATGGTTGATACTTCCCCAACTAAAGTGTTGCTGGACAAATCCAAGACTTGAAGATACTGCAAGTTCCAAATGCAAACTGGGAGCTCTCCAAATAGTTGGTTGTTGGACAGATCCAATATTTGCAAACTACTATTTTTGAATCGACATAAAGTGGGCAACTCCATGCCATTGAGATTAGACATGCTACCTGTGAGCTTGTTGTCAGACAAGATGAGATATTTGAGACCTTCGAGTTCTGATATAGATGCAGGAAGCTCGCCCTCAAGTTGATTGGTGCTGAAGTCAATGTATACCAAAGACGTGTTACCGATTTGCAATGGTATTGTTCCAGTAAAGTGATTATCTGACAAGTCCAAATATCCTAAGATATTGCAGTTATCGATCTGCGCTGGGATGCTTCCATTGAACGAGTTGTTGGACAAGTCGAACAGCAAGAGCTCCGTCCAGTTTGTAAATAACTCCAGTGGAATGGCCCCGCTGAGATTATTCCCGCTTAAATAGAGGGCTCCTATTCCTTGCATCTCGGCAAAAGACGTTGGTAAACTTCCATGCAACTGATTATGTGACAAGTCCATGTAATTGAGGCTGGTAAGGTTCCCCAACTCGGCTGGAAGAGTTGAAAACAAACCAGCATTGGATATTTCAAGCCATTCTAGCATTTGAAGCTTCCCGAGTAATGCTGGGATCGATCCACCAAGAAAGTTTTTGGATAGTCTAAGAAAACGCAATGCAGGTATCATCCCCAGCTCTTCTGGGACTCCGGCAGTGAGATTATTTGTATCAAGATCTAGGTCCCTGAGCTTTCGGAGCCTTGAAAGTGAACGTGGTATTGCACCAGAGAATCTGTTATATGACAGATACAAATACCTTAATCTCGGGACCATCTCTGGCAGTGAGCCTGGTATATTTCCCGAGAAGGAATTAAATGATAAATCAAGCGTTCTCATCCACGTGCAGTTAAGGATAAACTGGGGGAATGTGCCGTTGAGACTATTGTTCGTTAAAGATAAGAATTTCAAACTGGGCATAGGTAAAAACTTGGCAGATTCTGGGTTGAACAAGTGGTTGTTCCCGAGATTAAGATGAGCAATCATAGGGAGCTTACTGAGTTGGTAGGGGATGGCACCACTGAGACCGTTGATGCTCAAGTCAAGAAAGGTGAGAGTGAGCAACATGGACAGGTTCGCTGGGATGGTACCAACAAGGTAGTTGTTGCTGAGGTCAAGCTTGCTGAGATTCTGGAACGCGGTGTAGTAGAACGCATCAAGCTTGCCGTTGATCCCTGCACTGCGAAGGCAGAGCGCAGTGACGTGGCCAGCACCATCGCAGGCGATGCCGAACCAGAAGCAGGTTGAATTGGCAGGTGACCACGAGGACAGCGAGTTGGCTCCAATCAGTGTGGATTTCCATCGGAGAAGTGCATCTGCTTCTGGGTTGATGGCAATGGCTGGGCATATTAGCACAAAAAATGAGATCTGAAGGATTAGCTGTGGCTCCATGGTCAAGGCTTGTTTTAGGTTGAAGGTGATAAGTTGCAGTGGATTGCTTGTATCTCTGCACCTTAATTTGGAAATAGCCACAAGGCTTATAGAAGAAGAGATTTTAGAAGAAGGAAATAACTCACTCTTCTCTGAAAAAGATGGAACGTTCAGCCTGACTTGACCGGCAATTTTAGATAGAAGATGACCATTAGTCAGCAGTCGTCCAGCGAGGACGGTGCTAATAGAAGAAACTGATGCGGTTTCCATAGCACAAGAAATTATCTATAGAAACTACTTTCCACAGTGGAGGTGTCTTTGTGTAATAATTATTTTTTCTTTCTCTCTTTCAACTCTATCTTCCTCCTCCAATGGGAGTGTGGCACGAGCACCCTGTAAACTGGTGGTTTCTCCCCAATGACGATTTCATGGTTTCTTGGTGCATTGGGTCAAGAGAAGACCTGATTTCTTCATGAGGAAACCATTTCTAGTATTTTTGCTCTCTTTCTTCATTAATTACGTTGCCATGTCAGCATTTTGTCTACGTGACAAGTTATTTAATAAGGATAGAAACTATCATCAATACACCATTGGAACTGCCCTAATCCACCAAGGAAGTGCTGATGCAGCATACCATAATTAGTGCACTACTGGAAGACTTAACCCACCATCTTGGTATTCCACGTCAACTTCATAATCATCGCTCACTTAAATGTCAACCTTGCTCCATTCTAAAATATAAGGTATTTAAGTATTTAAAATTTATCCTAAATTGTACTCCCTCTTTCCTAGGGGGAATTCTTTGTGAGCCATTAAAAAAAATCGCAATTCCCTGTGAGCTATTGGAAAAGTTCAGCGGTCTTCAGCGCTACTGCTCCAACTTTTTTTTTTGCCCTCCATGCCACTGTCGTCAGATTGGGCCCTAACGGTATCAAACTGCAGGTGTGAAAAGTCGAAAATACCCTTAAGTCTAAATATGTCATTAAATTTTTTTTTGAGCATCTTAACGACTTCAAATGGAAAAACTCAAAACTAGAAAGTTGTAAATCTCGTCGAGATCTATAATTTTTATATAAAAATTATCTTCTTTTAATACCGCAAAAAAGATGCTCAAAAAAATTAATGATATATTTAGACTTATGGGTATTTTCGACTTTTCACACCTGCAGTTTGACACTGTTAGTGCCCAATCTGACGGCAGTGGCATGGAGGGCAAAAAAAAAAGTTGGAGCAGTGGCGTTGAAGACTGCTGAACTTTTCCAGTGACTCACAGGAGATTGCGATCTTTTTTAATGGCTCACAGGGAATTCTCTCTTTCCCAAATTAAATCAACTTCTAGAGACATTCTTAATTTTGATCAAATTTTTTAAAAAAAAGAGCACCAATATTTATGACACCAAATTAGTATCTAGATGCATCATGAAATATATTTTCATAATATATTTAGTGTCATGTTGTTATCTTTTTTATATAATAAAGCTGGTTAAACTTAAAGATAGTTCTGGTCCGGCTGATCAGTGAGGTGAATGTGTTCCAGCGTGTCCCAAAGATGCCTGATGGTTGTTACACTGCCAAGTCCGCGTACAACATGCTGCAGGCAGGCTCAGCCCCATTCCAAGGTCACAAGCTCATCTGGAAGACATGGGCGCCCTTGAGAATCAAGATCTTCTTATGGCTGGCCTTCCGCAGAAGACACTGGACAGCGGATCAGCGGCAGAGGCACGGTCTTGAGGCAAGAGACCTTTGCTACCTATGTGATCATACACAGGAAACCATAGACCACATCGTGGCCGCATGCTTCACTAAAGAGCTTTGGTACTACATCCTTCAAGCGCTCGGGAAGCAGCTGCCTCCAGCAGCAATCTCCATCAGGATATGGTGGCACCTTGCGTTTGCTCTGGGTCGGAGATCAACGTGCAGGTTTCGACTCGTTGTTCGCACTCGTTTCCTGGCAAATATGGAAGGAGCGGAACACGCGTTGCTTCCGAGCGACACCATCCACGATCGCCGACCTTCTGCAGCTGATCAAGGCAGACGCCGATCGGTGGATCGACGCTGGCGCCCGGGGTTTGGAAGCGCTAGCCATGAGTTAGTTTCCTCATGAGTCTTGTAAACGTTTCAGTCGTTTTAGTTAAGATGTAGCCCTTTTAAGTCTCCAGTCGCCGGAAACGGCATTCTTGTAAACATATACTCTTCTACGCAATTCTCTTGCGTATTCGAGAGAAAAAAAACTTAAGATAGTTTGACTTAGGGTCATTATAGGAATTGATTTATTTTGAGAGGGAGTAAGATAGATTTAAGTGAAATCACCGCCAACTCAATTTTAAAAAGACAACATTTAATGCATACCTACAATTGGTATTAGCATCTAATTGCCAACCATTTTCACACGATTAAGGGAGTTCTATGCATCATTTATTTTACCCCAATAATACTCCCTCTGTACTAAAAAATAAAGTCGTTTTGGACAAGACTTGGGTTAAACGTTGAAATATAAATCATGAATAATTTTTAAGTTGTTGAGTTTGAAAATATAAAAGTCATATAAATAGATTTGTTTTGAAAAATACTTTCATAAAAATATATATATATCACTTTTTGATAAATATTTTTATAAAACAAGACGTTAAAGTAATACTTTGGAGACCGTGTTGCTGTCCAAAACGACTTTATTTTTTAGTATGGAGGGAGTATGTCCTAAAGTCTCTAGAATTCCTTATATTTCATGACGGAAGGAGTAAAATAAATTGTAACTTATTTTTTCACATATATGGAAAGAAATTGGCAAGTGCAATTTTGTGATAGTACGACATATGCAAGTAAGCATTGACTGTTAGATTTAATAGGACTTGGACTACTACATATTAAATCAAATTAACTCCCAAGGCCTATAAAGCTAAGAGCAGCAAAGTTGTAAAATCGTATTTGAAATCGACTAAAAAGTTGACTCAAGTTTGTGGCTTTTGCGTGCACCAGTTGTAAAGTTGAGATGGACAAAAGTCATGCTACATGCGTGCACCTCTGCCACTGCTGAGCCGAGGCATGTAATACGTATCGAAACAACGCGTGGTGCGTGTTCGGGCCTCGAGGTCCAAAGGTAGATGACCATCAGTCAGCAGTCGTCCAATGATCCAAAGGATAGATGACCATCACTCAGCAGTCGTCCACTGATCCTGGAAGTGCTGATGCAGCATATCATCCAGAGACCTTATGTAACTTTTAGGGGCCTAACTGTAATTCTTAGCCCACCGAAGAAAATTATGTAAACAACCACCTTCGTCCTCTACTATCTACTACCAAAAAAAAAGATAGCAAGGGCCACGTGTTACAGTCTGATAGATGATGCTTCATCAAGGGTGATAAGACTGAGTGCACAATGTCATCCCATGTGGCGCCAATGCCATCACTTAGCCGACATCATCAACCGACGATCAACTGCTACCATTCAAATAATATACTCCCACGAAACATCAGTGTAAGTGCCGCGAACAGCAGAGCACGACCACTCAAAAGAACCAGGGCACTGACAAAAGACTAGCCACCACGGGGTATATTTAGGTACAGGTAACAGGGCATGTTTTGCCTTCAGGAAAGCAAGAAAAAACTTGACTGCTTATAAACCGCATCCACAAAGGATCAATATGAAGGTTTTTTATGCAAGGTAAATTCTAGCATCAAATACATAGGGCTTTACACATGCGAGAGCTATAGATCATTCCAGTACCATCTCGACATTCTACTTAGTCCACGTCGACTTCCTCATCATCAGCCCCGTACTAGGAAACAGACAAAACAAATTGTGAGCATATTGTTTAGCAGATCTACAAAAGAAAATGAGGAACTAGTTTTGGATATGTAGTCAGTCTGATCGCACGTGCCAGGTTTGCCATTTTCAACAGGATGCAAATTCATTTTTATCTATTCTTCGAAGGACGTAGGATGCAAGGTTAGTCACCTGCTCATAAGTATTAACCACTGGTGGTGGTTGTGGGGGCATAACAGGCGACCTAGTTTCGTCATCAGCATCATTTTCTATTGATGCGGTTATTGGATCATGTCTATCCTCCAGTTCAACAGCTTCAAACAGATCATCCACAGCATGAGCAGCCATACCAGTGGAGGGCAAAACATGTTTGACTGGAGATTCTTTGACCTGTAAGTTTAAAATATCTACTCAATAGCAGTTTGAACTCATACTACGCACAGTCCGAATCATGTCAGCAGTCATGATGAGCTAACAGGACCGATGACAAAGGAAGGCTATACAATTTTATATATTGCTACCACTTGTTAAGATGTTTTAATGGGTAAGATATTGCTGCCACTTGTTATGATGTTTTAACGGGTAAGCAAGTGTAAACAGAGCAACGAGGGTCAACCTTAAACTTCACTAGTTCAAGTTATGGCTTAGAACGGAAATAAGAGTATATGCATATAAATAGGATGTTGTCCATGTTATACCAGCTAGCTACGAGAACATGATATGCTATCATAAAATTGAGTTAGCACATGAGAAATATTGCACCTTGTCAGTGTTGGCTGAGGAAACAAAATTGCCTATCTTATCCTTTTCATCTTCCCACAGTTTCTTCTTCAAATATAAAGATTTTGTTGGCTCAGTTCCCTTGCTTGGTTTTTCAAATTCTGCAATAGTACCTTCTGACCTATATTTGTCTGGCCTAGTTGTGTCAGAGTCTCGCTCTCTTCTTTTCTTCACTGAAAAGGACAAGATTAGACATGAGTACAAAATTGATAGGAAGGCATGTTTAAACACAGAGCAAGAAATGTTGCTGAGACGTAAATGACAAAAAAAAACTCTCCCTTGTCAAAGAATATATGATTCATTTGGACAAGACAAGGTCAGATGTTATACTTTGAAAGTACTCAAATTCTAAAATATCAAATTTTCAAATGAAGGAAACACTTCATTCAGTGTTTCTATAAAAGGGTAGCCAACTAATCATATCAGCTCCAATGTTTGAAGTTCAACAGAGGAAGTATTAGCTGCTAGGGAGGGATCGCTTAGACTCCAAGAAATAAGTACATTGACAACAACCGTAGGAGAAACGGATGCTATTTAAGAAGATTCATTCACATCATACTAATGTCAACCTTAAGACAACATCACTGTATACTCTTCAGAGACAGAGACTAGGCTATACCCACCGGCTTTCGCTTCTTCACTTGTTGAGTATGGTATTGATCTCTTCTTGGCTGTAGCAGCATTTGGGCTCCTTTCATAAGGACCATTTGGATCTTCATCAACATTGATACTGGAAACTTCTTCATTAGCACCACGCTTCAGAATATCTGAAGCAAGCAAATCACCCAGTCTCTCAAAACGAGCTTGTGACCTGCACAATTCCATTTAGTTAATAATAAGCACAATTCATAATCATGTGGATATAGACATGAACTGGTGCAGCAAGTCAGGACAAAAATGTTTTCCAAATTGATAAGCTGAAAAGTGATGAAAGCACAATGTACCTTTTCAATTCTTCCTGTGCTTTCAAAAAGCGAGCATGGGCTTTAATGAACTTTTTCATTTTTGAGGTCATCCTACATTGGAAATAAAAAAAAAACATGACAACTATATACTTGAAGACACCATGGAGCTAAACAAAAGAGGCAGCACCCTATTGTGTAAGTACCTGTGGCATTCCTCTTTCTCCTTCCTTAGCTGCAGATCAAGATCATTTACTCTGCTAGAAATCTTGCGCACTTCAGCATTCTTCTCATCCAAAATTATCTATGGAAGGAATAGTTAATATGACCATCGAGTTTGGATTTACACAGGATAAAGCTATTTTAAAGGATAGGTGTAGAATTGTGAAGATTCAGAGTTAAAAGAGTACGTGGCCAATGACAACTTGTAGGATTTAGAAAGTAAAAGAAACATTATCAGCATATAAAGCATGTAATTAAAGACACTAAGAAGAACTGTTATGCTAATGCTCTAACCTAGTACTCCATCAAAATGTTTAAACCCATATGGACATTGCGAAGCAAGGAACACACAGAAACTTTTACAAATTACTGCTCCATCAAAATGTTTAAACCATTATGGACATTGAATATAAGTTTAAACCATCAGGACACCAAATACTCTTCATCAGTCATCAGTAAACAAAGATAGAAAGCAATAACAGAATAGTTATTGCAATCACCGAGAGTGAAGCACAAAAATGAAATCATCAAATTAAGCAATTAAAGCATGATTGATGATGAATGGTCAGTGTCCCACAATATGAACGGAATGGTTGAGCTTACAACGGAAAATAGGCAAGTGTTACCAATTGCAATTACAAAGTCCTATATATACATCAATTTTCTAGCCAGTACACTAGTGCAAAAAGAAAACAGAACACCTAAATCTGACCAAAGGTATAGATTGCTCGGGTGCATGAAATCCAGACCCCCCCTTCACCACCACCACCACCAATTACCCATAGAAACATCAACTAAAAACTGACATGGTTTACCAGCATGCAATATATGATAGTATAAGTAGAGACTATCAAAACTAACCTCCAAGTGAGATTTATCGTCGCGCAAAAGTTCCATATCCTGTCTTATTTGTTTCAGCTGCAGAATAATCTTACTTTTAATTATACAGTGGCAGGGCGTGCTAAAAGGTGACATGCAGCTATATATTGTATAACGCATCAGACCTGTATTTCGTGATCCTCTTTATTATCACCACTTAAGAGTGTCTCCCTTTTTCTATCATCGTTATTGTCAGAGACACTCAAACTCCTAGATGAGTTAGTTTCTCCATCATCAGGCTTCTTCTCATGCCTCCTTTCACTGAAGGGGGGGGTTCATAAAGTGGAAAGGTAATACAATATCAACATGTATGTTCCATATTTCACATACTCAACGCAGGTCAGGAACCAAAAACATCAGTAAGATTTCAGAGGTATGTAGGTAATAGATTCTATTCAGAAAATTTTATCAGAAGAAGCAATTATATTTGTAACAAGCAGATTTTAGTAATTGTTGACATAAAATAAAGCATACAATGTGCTTGCACGTTCTCTAGGGGCACATCTTACATGCTTATGCCAATACAATGAATACATATAATATATGATGAATAAATGCCACATCCGTGAGTTTGCAATTGCAAGAATATTAAAATAATGGTTTCAGAGAGGATGCTTTAACATAGTATTCAATGATAAAGGTTTTTAGTTATTTGAGCTCCAGATTCATAGTTAACAGTAATGAGGAAATTGCATCACATAAACAATGCAGATAACAAAGAGATAATAGATAATAATAAATAAATAATTGATAATTTGAGCAGCAGACACAGATGTGTTACATGTGTAAAAGCATATTTACAAATGAATGACTTAATCATATATTGCATGAATTGCATACCTCTTCCTACTCGGAGACCGTGAATAGCTAGATTCTGCAAGTAAAATTTCAGTTTTAATAACCTATACACCAACGGACATGGAATTCAATTCAAATGTAATAAAAGTGACAGGTCCGAATTTAAAATAAGAAGGCCGTAATTACCCCTTTCTTGGGAATTTGGTCTTCGGTCATGAAGGGAACGATGGCCCCTGGAATCTCTGTCAGGGGAATGCCTCCTATGAGGCGAGCGCCTCCTATCAAACCTATCTCTGAAGTCACCAGCTCTATAATCTCTTCTCCCTAGAAGTCAGGATAGAGAAAATTTTATACAAGAAAGGATATATGAAGCTGAACGAAAAATGCATCAATATGAACTTATGGAGATAGGTCACCCATAAGCCTGTAACCTTACCACAGCCTTTGAGCTACAAGATAATTCAATGCACAATAAGTAGAAGGGTCTCCAGGATAATACCACTAGCCACAACAAAGTAGGGCTGAAAATTAACGCCATGGGTAGATACCAAAGTATGGTATGAAACCACTGACGTACCCATTAAGATGATACCAAACTCATAATGTTGATTGTTGGAAATCAAATTGATGAAGCACCATGAACAACATCACATAACAATTATGACAAGTTGAGGTCTTCTATAATCCCAATATCATCACAATATAAATCTACTATCATTTGTCCAGATATCTTCCGCGGTGACTTGCAAGAATTACAATAACTTGCAATTACCAGTGAGAATAACACTTCCCAATGAACTACCTGATGCACAATATTCAAGGGTATGTGGCTCAATTAACCGTTAAAGCTGCTAAGCACATGACCATGGCACATCAAATGTATTATGGACATCATTCAGTGGAGTCATCATCCAAGATACTGATATGCCCACCTTCTTGATATAGGGACAAGCATTACAGTCACAATAAATCGTTGAAATGCCAACTGAAGAATCTATATAAAGGTCATCTTATCCTCTGGCAGCAGTTGAATCTAATAAATCTGCTCAGGAGTCTGCTAATTTGAATGGTAGTTAAATCAAAAGGCAACCAGTAAGAATGCCGCCTAATTCTGCAGACTGCAACAAGCTTCCACTTGTTAGAATTATTTTCTATCTGCAGCAACTGAGGTTCAATTCAAGCACAAATTTAATAAAACACACAAGCACTTAATACAAAACATAGAGAACATGGTACTACAAAATCATGGAGAAAAAAATATAAGTTCCATTTGAACCACAATGTCCAGAGGTAAATTTGTTACCCAGACACCTGTCCCCCCCCCCCCCCCAAATCAGACACTCGGCACCAGTGTCATTATGACACCATGTCGGATTCCAGGTGCTATTTGCGTGTACCAAAAAAAACTGCTAAATCAGACACCTGCACCTAAATCGGACACTGATACCCAGACCCATGTGGGCCATGTCCATGTAACCCCCTAAAGCTCCAAAGATGGTCATCCATAAATGATCCAACTATATGTATTCATTCTTTGGCCACTCGCTATCCTGGCTAAATTAACCTAATTCATCCCTTCTAAAATAATAGATATAGATATCCATATCAGCGACTTGACATGTATCACTTTTCCTTTTTTGTTGCATGGCACAACAATGTACCGTACCATCCACCATGACATTTCTTCTTCATCTCATAAATCGAATGGGCCCATACCGTTGTTCTTCCAAAACAGATAGATCACATGGATTACATGGGCAACCATCCACGGTAGCGTGCAGAATTCGTGACATCATACAACTAAACCTACCAATAAAACAATACGAGGAACAGAATTTGCAAGAAAATTTCATACAACCAGACCTCCCGATTTACCACGAACGCTACACCACCAGGGGATCCCGATCTCATCAGAGGTTAAACATTCAACTAGAAAAAAAAAACGTACGAGAGGTTAATGGGGGCACGAGAAAAGGTTGTGTATACCAGCGCGGGGAGGGAACGAGGCGCGGGAGCCGGGGAGCCGGCGGAGCTCGGCGTGCCCGTGCGCGAAGCTGCAGATGTCGCGGGAACAGCCGCCGCGCTGCCACAGCGCGCACAGCTTCGTCTTGTACGCCGGCCCGCGGCGCGGCGGGCCCAGTATCCCGGGCGGCGGCCGATCCCCGCGCTCGCGGCTCGGGAATTCGCGCTCAACCGATCGATCGCTCATGGCGTGGGTAGGGTTTCGAGGGGAGGAGGAGCAAAGCCCTAGAGTGGAGGAGAGGCGAGGAAGGGAAGACGGGAAGTGTTAGAAGCGTTGATGGCCTACGGTCTAGGTAATGCCGTCCGGAAGGGCAGCTGGGCAGCAGGAGAAACCACGGCGGCGGACGATAACGAGTGCCCTGTTCGCTGGGCTGAGGATGGACATGGCTGAAATTACTGTTGGCTAATTTATTATGAAAAAAAAATATTGTTTGTTGATTAAAAAAGTACGGCTTATAAGCCGAGCGAACAGGGCAGAGATTTGCTCCTGACCCCTGGGCCCTGGATGTGCACCTCAAGAAAATGGGTTGCTTGCATGATAGATCTCGACAAATTTAACACTTAGCACACTGTTAATTTGATTAACATTTTTTTGTTTAACTCAACTTTTATATTTAATTTAACATTTTACTTTGATTCACAAATTTCCTCATTCTCTTTAACTCATTTTCATATTCTTTTCTCTTTATAACTCATTTTCTATTTTCTAGCATTGGAAAATACTATATTGTCCCTAGGCTTATTCACACCTTTAGATCGATGTACGATGAAGTTTTGTTACATTATACATGGATTTGCATTAGTTTGAGGCAATCTCCATGAGGATGTACAATGAAAGAAAAAATAGTCATATAATCAATTTTGGTATAAGTAGATGTTTAAATTGCACGTATTTTGTCCCCTACTAATATCATAAGCTTTTGCATGCCCATATTGTAAAATATTGTCTGTGGGAATCACATTATGACACAAAAATGGATTTCAGCTTTTAAGGATAAAGTGCGTGGAATGAGGGCTGGTTTGGTGTAGCACCAACAATACAAGATTTAGAGTTTATACAATAAAATAAACCGTTTAAACATCAGTGTTTTATACAAAAGAATAACCAAATTTCTCATTCTCACATCTTTAATGCGCCTATAGCTCCAAACGTAAGACTTCTTTGAGCAAGGATGACGAGCTTTACAAATTTTACTGCCAAAGTTGTGCTAAATTGACCCCAAAGAGATACTCCCTTCAATTCCATAGTTCTTGGTTTTGATAGCGATGTGATCTCCAATGTGTAGCTTTGGCTATGATTTTTGTATATACAAAAAAGTAAAAAAAAAATATTAAAATACCTTTTAAGACTAATCTATGCATGTTGTCATAGTGTCTTTAAATTATATATATTGTAATAATTATCGATAATCAAAGTTTTAAAGTTTGAGCTCAAACTTGTCCAAAGCAACAAGAATTATAGAACTCAAGGGATCATTGATTTAGATGTACTTTAAGAACCACTAATTTAGAGGTATGACGGAACCATTATCATAAACCTATGGATATCAATCAAGATATGTATGTTTGTTTGGGGTGGGGGTGGGTGGGGTAGGATGATACGTATGTAAATCTACATGTATGCTAACATATTTCCTCTCCAAAATGGATTTTCCTTTACAACAAAAAGATTAGTATCTCATCGTCAGTCGTTAGAATGTGAACTATCTGAATGGCCATCAATAACAGCAGGGAACTGTTGCTCCTGTAGGATTGACGGGAACGTAGGGTTGCCATTGCCACTGCTTCGTGATTTATCTGTACCCTTCTTCTGTGATGCCCCAACTTCCTTGCATGCCTTATCTAGCATCACCAAGAAATCTCTTACAATCACAAACAACCGGAAACCGTCATCTTTAGAGTCATTTCCATGGAAATATCGGATTGTTTTCTTCACTAATGATCTCAATCTCTTCTCTTCTTTCATCAAAAAATTTGTCTCATTATCTGCATGTTCCACAAAACATTCCAATGAGTGTCGGAATCCACTCGTCTCTTCTATTGTTGCAATTTCATTCAGGAACTCCTTTGATTTCAGTAACTCTTGTCTGAGGGTTACCACAGTGGCAAACAAAGGTTCAGCATCTAGTGCAGCTACCCTCTTGACATTGTCCATCTCACTACTAAGTCCTGACACAATGCTAAGGCCACGGTTGGAGTAGTAATCACCATCCTCTTCAAGAGATCTGTTGGAATTGACGTCTGAAGTACTACGAGTTGGACTTCTTCCACTTTCCATGGCTAACCTTGCTTCACGGACACCTTCAGACCGAATAATCTCTTGAACAACAAAGTGCAGCAATGTGGTCTTTCCATCAGCACCCTTGACATCTGATAACTTCAGAAGAGTGTCAAGCTTGAATGCATTAGCACCACCACGGAAGGTCCCATCATTCAAACGGTTTCCAGTTTTGAGAACAGCTTCTAGCAACTTCAGAAAAAGGCGGTGCTTTAGTTCCCCACAAGCAGCCTAACAACAAATTGATAAAGTATAACTGTTAGTACTTGTTTTTCCCTTTTTGCAGATTTGGCACAACTGTTGTAAGGTAGATTACCTCCAATTGGTGGAATGAATCCCTGAGACTTGAAGCATCTTCTTGCAAGGAGGACATGAAAAGCAACGTGTCAACTCTCTTGAAAGCAAAAGGAGTGTCAATTAGCGCCTTCATCACTTGTTCTGCAAGGCCTAGCTGTGAGAAATCCCCGTTATAAAGCCTGAGCTTCTGCTCCTCCTCATCAGTTGGCTTCATTCTCAAGATTGTCTCAAGAAGCACCCTAGGAAGTTCATTCCCTTGTGAACAGGATGAGATGAAAATAATATCAGAAAATTTGATGGCACTGCAGGAGACCAGAACACAAGTCTATTAAGATTAAAGAAGTATACAAAAAGGATCCTCATCTGGGAGGCTGGTGAATCGACATGCAAGCCAAAAAAGCCTCAAGAAGAATCAGAACAGCTCCCAAATACAAACAAGACACAACATCAGAAGATCAAAATATTGAGGTCTCTACAGTGGACTATCCAGATAAAATGTATTTCTATAAGGCTAACTGATTCGTTCCCGTCTTTCAGATTCATGTTGATGTCAGTAAACAAACAGAAGTAACAGCAGAATATAAATTCTGAAGCAAAAAATTTCCTTGAGTCCTCCATAAATGAAAACTAAAATAGAATGTGCAACATGAAGTAGATTGAAAAACCTGCCTGCTACATAGTCAGACAAAGTTCATGTTGTAGATAAATGGTTAGCTTAAAAAAGGGTTAGTGAGTGACCAATATGTGATCATCAGCAGAGTTTCTAAAAATACGCTTATAAGTGTATTGTCGTCTAAGTGAGCTATATAGATTCTAGAGATATATTGAAGGGGCTTTTATTCTCAATACAATTAAAGCAAGCTACAAGGGAAAATTGATAATGCCTTCTTCTGACCACCGTACAATTCATCAGCAAAGTTTTCTAAAAAACTCATTTTTAAGTGTATAAAAAAAAAGTTAGGACCACTGTACAATTCATCAGCAAAGTTTTCTAAAAGAAAACTCATTTTTAAGTGCATACAGTGATCTAAGTCTGTGCAAATGGCTTGGCTTATAATTAAGAGATATACTTAAGGGCAAATCGATATCGGCTTCCTGTGAATAAACAGCAGCTACCTTCAATAAGAGCGTCATGAATGTCTTGTACGCTGATATTCATTGCCTTAAAAACAACTGCCAGGTTGCAGGATTTCTTAACATTGAGAAGAGAAATGTGCTGAGATGCAGGATCCGCAGAGGGGAGTTCCTTATCCTTGAGGTTATTTCCGTTGCCACCACTATAACCAAACAATTCCTCTATCATATCCTCATTGACACTGCAAAATCAAATTGTGAAAACAAGCACTCTGCAGACAGAGTGTATTAAGCGTTTATTGCTAATAGTAACACTTACTGAAAAGAACCAAATTTGATATCATGCCATGCCATTGACTGATCAGGATTAGCAAGAACTTTGTCCCAATAGAAAGGTCGAAGCTTGGCTCTTGGAGCATTAACTTCTGCTTCAGATGATTCACTGGTCTGCTCGCCGGCAGATGATCCTTCAGAACGACTTGACTCAACAGGTGACAGCTAAGCAAGTCTTGCTTTAGAACCTTTGGGAGGTCCAGGTGGGGGAGGAGGAGCCTTCTTGATCGGAGGTGGCAAAGGTGGAGGAGGTGGAGGCGGCATCGGTTTAAGAGCATCACTTGTGACATTATTCTCTGGTGCTCCTCCAATCACTTCTGAAGGTGGTGTGGCATCAATTGATCTTTTAAAACAGCATGAAAAGCACTGACTCATGCTGACTCCAGAATGACTTCGATTACCCTTGTGAAGTGGACTGGCAGGAACACGGGCATCGGGTGATGAACCTGAGAACAGAATGTTGCATGTTATAGTATTATACTAAAGAAGTAAGAACAATCCATCACAGGTTGACAAAGGGATACTCACTCACCAGGCACATTAGCCAACTGCATGTGAAGAAGAGGATGATCATCTCGTTGCTCACTGACAGAGACCTTGTTCTTGTTGCATCCACAGCAGTAGAAAATTAGAAATGCAGCAATGAACGAGAATGCCACTGTGGGAAGAACCACGATCAAGACTAATCTAACATAGTCTTTATGCTTCTCCAGAAGTGAAACTGGAGGCACTCCCCGATGCTTCTGTGCAGGTTTACTGTGATGAGGTTGGTTGGGATTTTCATTGTTGTGAGAGCTGGAAGGCGCATATGGTGTTTCTGTAACAGATTGAGGAAACTTCACTTCATCGCCAGAGGACATGGACGGCGCAAAATCTGGAGCCATAGAAGGAGCATCTCCAATTGAGTTGTCAGCCAAATGCCGTCTCACATAGGAGTTCGAACCAAGCAACAGCTGATGGCTCTCAAGGTAGGTTGCCAGTGAAAGACTGAATTCTTGTGGAATGCCCAAACCAAAGTAGTTTGCATGGATACAATCATAGGTACTGGATAATTTTTCAGGGGAAAGAAGAGATAGAAACTCCAGAAACAGCATTGCCTTCAAAGCATTCTCTGATGACTGACTCAATAGTTCATCTGAAGCAAATTGCAGTGAATTGCCCAATATTTCCTCTGCACCAACCATGTCTGGTAAGCAAATTGACCATATTCTATCCACCTGCATCCATCCAAGAACCATCCTACATCAGTCTACCTTTGCTGATGCCTCATTTTCTTTTTTTTTAACGCAATAATGCCTCATTTTCTTGGATCTTGCAGAAGAACAAAGTTCAATAGCAAATACTCCAACCAAAAGTACCCAGAATACAGAGAAAAACAAACTGACAATTGTTTGAAAAGCTCTGTCCCTGCATTCATTTGGTAAGTGAAGTACTTTGTGAATTTTGAATCCTTTTTTTATTTTAAGTAGCAGGTCAGCAGCTAATTTCAAAAGAAACAATTTTTGAGAACGCACAAGGAACTCGTATTGCAAATTTCTGGCAAACCCCGGGCCCAAAGGAAGCATGCATTCCATGAATCAATGGATACTGTCAAATGCTACGAACAATAAAGTGTCTGGATGGCTTACCAGATCCCCATTCAGAAGTGGCGCTGGAAGAGAAGTATGCTGCCTCCACTGCAACAAGAAACGCTCCCAGCCCTCCTCCTCCTCTGCCCCTACTACTCCTGATGGCTTGATCAATGCTGCAGCTGCCACCAACAGCAACACGAAGCCTAAACTCCTCATCACTTGTTGCCTCCTATGAGCTCATTCTTCCTCTTCCTCTCGTCCACCAAGAAAAGGAAAAAGATGATACTTTTTCTGGTCTTTGTGGAGTGTAACAGCCGAAGATTCCTTCGGCTGCCAAACTAGCTAGATTTGTCCTTAGAGACGGCCTGGGGTTTGCGAGGAGGTTTGCTATTGTGAAGTGTCTAGAAGAGTCAAACCCCACCGCATTGATTAGCAACAAAGAATATTGAGCTGAAATCAAGGTCACAGATGCTTTTACTTTGAGCATCACAAGAGTTAGGCCGGATGGCACAAGGAGTCGGCCAATGGTAGAAGGAAATGTTGCCTTGAGCACGCGCACCTGCATCTGCCTGCACCCAAGAAATAAAAAAGAACACAATTTTTTATATGCTGTGGTCAGAATCTCCAGTGTTGTGGACTATTGGACGGTACAGATCCAGATTCGAATGCATTCTGCGCGTCATGATTCGAGCTCTAGCTTAGCTTCGTTTCTTGAAATCTTGCCAAACATGGTAAAAAAGCTTTGACGTGTTGCTGGGTCTACTCCCGGGGAGGCGTGGAAGCCATGGCCGCTCCCCCCAAGAGAATAGAAAAACGTAGTAGTAGTAGCTTGCAAGCGGGAAAGCCAAGAAGGCGTGTCTCGCACCTGTCTCTGACCAAGACGCGCGCAGGGAAGAGAAAGCGCCGGAAGGCAGTTGAGATGCGTGGGCGGGCGGGCGACCAGGCATCCACACGTCTGACGCCTCCCCCCGGTCGGCGCCACGGCGGGGCAATAGCAGCGTGCCCCGAGTGAGCCTTCGACTTGAGGCCTGGCAACCCCCGCGTGCGCGAGATCGGCCTCCCTGAACCTGCAATGCCATCCTCGCCACCGGCGATGGCCGCCCCGCCGCATCCATCCCTTCGCCTCCTCGCCGCGGCGCCAAACACGAAGGAAAAGGGGAAAAAATATGAAAGGGAAGGAAAGAGCGAGCGGCGTGGGCCGTTGGCCCATCGGGCCCTAAGAGAAATTAGGCAAGTGGGGCCCAGTGACATGGCCGATGCGGCTGGCTGTCCATGGCCGATTGGCTGGTCGGCCGCGAGTGAGAGCTGGGCTGAGCTGCCGTGCCGTGCGGAGCTGGACTGTGCAGCAGACAGGAGCGCATCTCGCCTCTCGCGGCATCTCCGCATGTGGAAGCTGTGAAGAGAAGACCGGAGAGGAGATGCTGCAACAGAAGCCGAACGAAAAAAGAAATAGGACGGCTCCTCCCAAGGGTCAAAGGGAGGAGTTGCCGCGCCGCCGCCGGTTCGATCCTCTGCGCGAGATCGAGCTTCCCCCGGATTGGGGTTGGGGCTGGCGACATCTGGGATCCGTCGTCTCTCCTCGTGTTCTTCAGCAGGTGACGATTTACCTTGCTGCTCTTGTTGCGTGTGTATGTGTGGGTGGGTGGGGATTGATCTGCCTGGTTGTTTAAGGGCGTAATCGTACTGTTCTGTGGTTAGTTTAGGACCTCCGAGGTTGTGTAGCTTACTTTTGCGGTGAACTAGGATTCGGAATGCTTTGTGATTTGGCCTTCAGCGAGTGGTAGGACCGTAGGAGGATTCTGTGATAGTTGCTGATGAGATTTTGCTCTGGTTTCGGATTTTGAGGAGTTAATTTTGGTAGCTTCTGCTGAAGTGCTCGTTCGAGTAAACTGATATCCTAGCAGCTAGAACTTACCAGTGCTGCGTGGTACGCCTCATTTTAGACTATACTTGAGCTGATGGGGTAAGCAATATGTATGTCTCAATGATGCCAGGCAGGCGGTATAAATCGCAATGAAAATAGGGAGATGATTCCTGAGATAACTACCATAGTACTCTTTTGCAATTCGAGCCCGCCTCGAAATTTATACCAACCCCTGATCTGCATTTGAGTTACTACTAGTTGTTGATTCCACTTTCATTACATGTTTGCCCTAATTAGATTTTCCCCTTCCATGCAGTTCTCCACTTGTCTTGGCAGAGAACATTTGACTTGGAAAAGCAAATTGGGTAACTGGAGACACAGGAAGCTTTGTGGTTTGTCCTAAGTGATCCTATCAAGTTCTCATAGGCTGCATACTGGTACAACATTTTCCCTGTGTTTTGGGCCACAGAAGAGGGGAAGTCAAGGATTTTCTATCTTGTAAGCCAGTAAGTAAGCCACGACCTTGGTGGTCAAGGTCTGTGCCCACTTACCATATATAGTCTATAAGTTGGACATTGTAAAGGCAACGCGCATCTTGCTTTCTATACCCCCTATCTGTTTCTCTCTCACTGTATATAGAGATTCATATAATGGACGAGGAGAGGACTATTTTGATGGACCGTTATGAAATCGGGAGGCAATTAGGACAAGGAAACTTTGCTAAGGTGTTTTTTGCTCGAAACCTGACTGACGGGCAGTCTGTTGCAATAAAGATGATCGATAAGGACAAGATCACGAGCAGTGTTTTCAAGGCGTCGCCTAATCATCGCTTAAGCGATGCTTAGGCTTAGGCGTCGGGGCGCTCCAGGCTCGCCTTAGGGGTAAGGCGGCGCCTTGTCGCCTTATGCTCAAGCTGATGCTCCCTCGATTCCGCCGTCTCCTCGTCGATTCCGCTCGATTCCGCCGCCTCCTCGCTCGATTCCGCCGCCTCCTCGCCGTCCTCTGCTCGATTCCGCCACCATATGCTCGATCTGGAAGGGGACGGCAGCGGCTGTAGATCTGGAAGGGGAGTAGCGAGGGAGGGGAGCAGAGGAGCGCCGGAGAGAGGGGAGCAGAGGAGCGCATCCGGAGAAAGAGAGGGGTGGAGCCGCGGAGAGGGAGACGAGGCGGAACGAGTGGTGGAGAGTAGAGAACGAGAGGAGCAGCAGTGGAGGGTTTGGGATAAGCCATGCCTGGAGGGGGACGGGCACATGGGCCGCCTGGTGGGCTAGGCCAGCCCACTTCTTACTCCTCCTTTCTTTTTCTTTTTTCATTTTCTTTTTTCTTCGTCATCTACTGCTCTGAGTTCCTGTTTTAATTTTTTTAAAATTCATAAGGCGTCGCCTCGCCTCACGCTTTAGTCGCCTAAGCGTAAGGCGGTAGTCACTCGCCACGCCTCGCCTCGCCTTACCGCCTTAAAAACATTGATCACGAGGGTTGGGCTAATAGTGCAAATAAAGAGGGAGATCTCTATAATGAGACTGGTAAAGCATCCGAATGTTCTGCAACTTTTTGAGGTAATGGCTAGCAAGAGCAAGATTTACTTTGTATTGGAGTATGCTAAAGGTGGTGAGCTGTTCAACAAAATATCAAAGGGAAAGTTCAGCGAGGATATTGCGAGGAGGTATTTCCACCAACTGGTTAGTGCCGTGGACTACTGCCACAGCCGAGGTGTTTACCATCGCGACTTAAAGCCGGAAAACCTACTTCTTGATGAGAATGAGAACCTTAAAGTCTCGGATTTTGGTCTAAGTGCCCTAGCTGAATCCAAAAGGCATGATGGCCTCCTACATACCACCTGTGGAACTCCTGCCTATGTTGCTCCTGAAGTGCTTAGTAGGAGAGGCTACGATGGCACAAAGGCGGACATATGGTCTTGTGGAGTAATTCTTTTTGTGCTTGTGGCTGGTTACCTGCCTTTCCATGACCCAAATCTTATTGAGATGTATAGGAAGATATACAAAGCTGAATACAGATGTCCTCGTTCCTTTTCTGGTGAATTGAAGAACCTGCTTTTTAGAATGCTTGATCCAGATCCAAGTACTAGAATATCTATTTCAAGGATAAAGAGAAGCACTTGGTACAGAAAACCTATTGAGGTAAATGCAGCAAAGATCAAGCGTGACGCAACAAGAGACAAGGTGTGCAACGGTGAAGCCACAACCTCTAACTCAATAGAATGCAGTAATCCAGAGGGAAATCAAGGGTCATCAAGCCTCCCTAACCTGAATGCATTTGGCATCATTTCTCTTTCGACTGGATTTGACCTGTCTAATTTGTTTGAAGAAAAATATGGCCGGAGGGAAGAGGGGTTCACCACTAGGCAGCCAGCAGGAACAGTATTTGCTAAGCTAAATGAACTGGCTGAGCGGTTAAAGCTCAAAATTAAGAAGAAAGAAAATGGGGTCTTGAAACTGGCTGCACCAAAGGAAGGAATAAAGGGGTTTCTCGAGCTTGATGCAGAGATTTTTGAGCTTGCTCCTTCTTTCCTTCTAGTCGAGTTGAAGAAGACTAGTGGTGACACCATAGAGTATCAAAGGCTCGTGAAAGAAGAAATAAGGCCTGCACTGAAGGATATGGTCTGGGCATGGCAGGGCGACCGGCACCAGCAGCGCGAGCAGGCTGTGCAAGGAGAGCAGCAGCTGTTGTCACCTTTGCCACCACAGCAGTAGTCACTGTTGTCATTGCGGCAGCCACAGCACTGATTGCAGACCTCCTTGTTAGCACAGTGTCCAGAGCAGAGGACAAGCCCCAGCTACCGCTGCACTGCCGTGCCCTCCAACAATTGTTGGTGCCACATGAACCCCACAACCAGTTGCAACTGCCATTATAAAATCACATCATGGCAGCTGCAGGCTGCAGGACTAACTCCCACAGCCAGAGTCATGATCCATCAACGCATATGTGATTGCGAAATTGGGATGTTCAGGTTACCCTGTGGTAGGATCTAAAGCACCTACCATTTGACGCTTTTTATACTGTACATTAGAGTAATATACTTGACTTTTCAATTTTGAAACGTGTTTTCGATATGATTTTGTAACCAGTGTAAGTAAAAAGTTGATTTGTCACAGGATCTTGTCATGTTGACACCCATATTTAACCATGGATCATTGGTGTAGATGAATCTCTTTTGAATCCCTGTATTTCTTTTATAATGTATCTGTCATGTTTGTACTACTAGGTTTCAGTTCTGGAAGCGTGTTACTACAGATATTTGCAGTCAGTGTTGATACAAACTAAAGTTGATTATTCATGTAGGCACGCAGCATGACCATATTTATCAATGGATCATTGGTGTACAATGTTTAGGAAATAGGTGATGACTGATGAAGAACATGGACCTCTTCTTATTGGTGCGAGAAAATATCTGCTTGATGTACTGGGATGCATCTTGCAGTACAGTCTGTACTATCTCAGCTCGACATATCATTATCGGCGACGATCCAGAGTTCAAACCAGCAGCGAGTCGACGACATAACAATGACCGGGACGACGCTGACGCCAGCGCTGGATGGAGGCTGCCTGGAGCCCAGTACAACTGCTGCGCTCGGGCAGCTGGCCCACCCCAGCCCACTAGCCCAGACCCCAGACCCATAGGGATCGATAATGGTCGTAGGCTCGTAGTACAACGTTTGGCGTAGTACAGATTGGGAGAGCAGACCTGCACGCCTCCTGAAATGTGAAATCGGCAAGCCCTTGCAGTACACTCGATCCGGTGCCTCCTGCTCGCAGGCGCCGTTATAATGATCGGTAGCGTGAGCAGAACAGACATGGAGTGGACATATATGGGCATCAGATCCAAGAGAAGAGAAGCAAAGGCATCATTGAGTGCAGCGTTGATGAGCCAGCTGGGCGTGCGTCCCCTGCTGGCCGCCGGGCCGCTGCTCACCAACGCTGCACTCAATTACACCTTTGCTTTCTCCGGATGGCCGCGTGTGCAGGGCAGGGCAGGCGTTCGTCATCAGTCATCAGGTTTGCTTTACGCACTCATCGGATCTTCCTTCCGGCCTGCCGTGATTCGTGAAGTGGCGGGAGAAATGATACTGCCTAGTGTAGAAAAGGGCGCAGGATCCGAATCTGATGGGTGTTGCCTTCTTCATCTGCACTCCTGCATGTATGATGCCGTTTCGCTGAAATTTAGTTTACGTGGATGATTATGCTAATTTATTATGAGACAAAAATATTATTCGTTGATTGAAAAGTAACGTTGAAGTATTACTGTAGAACAATGTCACCCCTCAGACCTTTGTGTTCCACTTAACTGTCAGCGACGCTCGTAGTGACATCGAGAGACCAGAGGACCTGTTTGGATTGTGACCAAAATTTATCATGCCAAAGATTTGGCAATCAAAAGTTGGGCAAAAAAGTTGTCAAAGATTTAGCAAGCCAAATATAAGCGGTTAGCGAGTTTTGGTAGTTCAACTAAATGTTAGCCAAATCATAACTTGCCAAATCTTTGGTTTGGTAAATTTTGAAAGTGAACTAAACAGACTCATAGTGCACAAGGCCATTCAAGCTAGCTCCCAAATTGTAACCGTTTGGGATGGCAGAATCGGTTTCCATTCTCACTGGATTCGGAAAAAATGGCACCAAACACACTAATCGTGAAACGATAAACGATTGCGCCTTGGAACGGTTTTCTATGGTTCCGTGCTTTTTGACTAAAGGAACGAAACAGCTTGAATCTAGTTTGGCTAGATTTCTTTTCTACTAGTCTCTCTCGTACACTAGCGGCCGTATCTTTTTTTAAGTCATTATTAGGGTGTATTCAAGTTACTTTTTTCGTCCACAAAAATTTCTGATTTTTTTTATTATATCTCTATTTATTTGATTTTATAAAACCTTTTTTTAACTAGTAAAATCTATGGAACGAGCAGCAAACAGTCCGTAAAGTGATTGTGTTGAGACAATTTGGATCCTTTACCAAACAAATAGTTCCGTAAAATGATTCTGTTAATAGAATCTGAAATATTTCTACGCGAATCTAGATCTCCGGAACCCGAACGACCAAAGAGCATTCACATCGCCCTCTCATCTCATCTGCCGACGGACACGGATGGAATCGATGGATGGATCATGGATCATGGTCTCATGGATGGAGCAAGTGCAATACACGAGAGGAGCGAAGAAGCCACAGACAATCACAAGAAGCCTCGGTCAGCGCGCTACAGCTACAGTACGCGCCCGCCGATCAGTTGGGTCCCCAGCACACGAGGTGGTAGGCCTTGCGCATCCTCGCCGCGTCCGCCGCCGCCGACGGCGGCCGCGACGCCGGGGGCACGGACACGGAGTCCCAGAGCGCGGCGGCCAGCGCGTGGATCCGGGGCGCGGCGGCGCGGCGGTAGAGCGAGCGCAGCGCGTAGTCCCAGCGGCACAGGCCCGCCTGGTCCTTGAGCGCCTCCACCGCGCCCATGCTCGCCGCCACCACCAGCGACGGCGCCTTCCGGCTCACCGCCGCCATCTCGCTAAATGCTGGGCTCGACCGGTTCCTGTTCGGTTCGTGATCTCCGTGGGGGTGGGGGACTGGACAAACGACGGGAGCGATCGAGGCGAGGAGAGAGTGGAAGGGAGCTTGGCCGTTTTTATACGCGGAAACCGGCGGAGAAACGGAGGCGGGTCGAGTGGAAAACAGGGAGCGCGTCGCCGGTTTTGGACCCGACGGGAGGCGCTCACTCTGTTTCCAAGAACCAGGGCGGTGGCCGGTGGCACGGTGCATCATGCGTCTTTGCCAAGCGCCCTTGCAGCACGGCCTCACGGGGGAATGTGAGGCTGACAGGTGGGACCTACTGCTAACGATCGATGAAAATTGGGATTATCCAATTTCTCAAATCTCTTCAACTAGGGACGGCCTGGACAGCGAGAAGTACAATAGAAGAAACCAGCCTAGCTTGAGCCTGTTTAGAACACCATTTTTAACTATTTTTTATTACAAAAAACGATCGGGCTATGGCTATCTCTGCAGGTCCGAGTATGCTCATGGAGTATTAACATGCATGGATTTTTGGCCTAAAACTAAAAACATCTTGGACTTTTCTCAACTGGCCGAAGAAAATGTCGAGGTCTAAGGACAGCTACAGTGTAAAGGCGAACCATGTCATCCACAAAAATGAAGAGAAATTAAATTTGATAGCTGCAGTGTTTATATCAATTTGTGGAGCCCACATGTTACAATAAAATAAATTATTTCTAAGGAGCAGGCAAAGAGGGAGCACGCGCTAGATTGCTTTGCACGAACGGAGCGACCTGTATATATTATTTTAATCCACTCGGTTCAAATGCTCCGCAGAGTCTGGTTTTGGCTCTGACAGCCTCGGTTCGACTGCTCCAATATCAATGGTTCGTTTGGCGTAGCTCGCAGTTCGATTTTGGAGTAGTACACCAAAGCAAAGCTGTCCTTAATAACATGATAATTTGAATGAGCTAAAACTACGCTCTAACACCCATTCAGTACCACACCGCGCTGGATTTTTCTCATCACAAGCCTTATATTAATAATAAGACTGGTGCTTCTTCATCAATAGGGTAACCTGAAAATTAGGTATTTCCCCCTATCAAGTCTGTGAAACACCAGGACGAAAGGAAGGCGGCAATGCACACAATTCAACCCAAAAATAGTTGCCGTATACTTATAAGACCGGTGCTTTGTCAATTGGGCTAATCAATGGGAGCATTATTAATTGACTAATTGTGAGGTTTAATTTGAGAGCAGACACAATATGGGGTTATAGAGGGTGCCATCAAAAGATTTCGTATGTTGAACGCCTGGAGCATACGGTGCCAGAAAGCGCCACCTTAGCTCTTACTCCCTCTATCCAGGAAAGAATGTAATTATGAGATCCGTACTGGTCAAAGTAGCTCAAGTTTGACTAAATCTATAACAAATAGTATTAATATTTATGTCTTCAAATAAATTCATTGTGAAAATATATTCTATGACTAATCTAATGATACTAATTTTGCATGGGAAATGTTATTATTTTTTATATAATTTTAATCAAAGTTCCAACTGATTGACTTATCGGAAGCGAGAATTGCATTCTTACATGGAAGGAGCGAGTATATACATATGCTTGTTTGTAGCTTACTTATGCCCATCTTCACCATTTAGCATCGAAAGCGCCACCATAGCTCATATGCTTGTTTTTGCACTTGGCCACATGGGTGCTACAAATAAAACATTTTTTTATACCCATCTTCTCTATTCTTGTGAGCTGAGGGAAAAATGGAAAGCTTTTTACAGCTTAGGCCCATCTTAGCTTAGACTATTAGCTTATACGCTAGAGCAAATTTATATCCTTATCCATAACCATAACATGACTAGCTGATGCGTAATAATAGTTTCTAGAAAACTCATTAAGCCTCAGCTGCTCTAATATCGATAATTATGGATGACAGGGACACACCTCGTAACATCCTTCTGAATAATCTTGGATCGGCAACGCTATCTCTTGTCGGGACCATCACATACACAAGCTATAAAATCCTTGTTAGTAACGGAGGGAGGAAATATGAGTAGGTATACATACGTGTGGTGTATAGAACGCCTTGGGTCGTCGTAGTAGGAGTAAATCTAGCATAGACTTTTGCGACCGAATTGGTTGGTACATACACGTACACAACGTTATTCCATTTCTCGTGATCATATCGATGCATAGGCTGACGTGGTGAAACCCAAACCGAATCTTCATGCTTCATCAACAGTACTCGATCGAGTCCACTCTTAGATTCAGGTTACATACAAGGCTGAGCTATAGATTCATGTGATTTTTTATTTTATTTAAAGTGGTGCTCCTCGTGCTAAATGGTGAAGATTCGACTCAAGAAACTTTACTACGTGGCATATGAACTGATATTATCCACTGGAGATGCCTTATAGCAAAAAAGAAAAGAAAAAGAGAAGTTAAACACATAGCATGACGTGGAAAAGTAGTTAAAAGGAAAGGAAAATATAGCTTTTATTTTAGCCATAGCACTTGAAGGCTACCTGGCCACATGTTTGGCGAGCTGAGTCAGCTCAGCCTAGCCATAAAGTTAATTAAGCTTAGCAATGGTCCAGGTCCTCATTTCAATCTGCTGGATCCGAGACGAAAAGCATACTTCGCGCTAGCTAAACAATCCGTCCGCCAATCTCACAGATTTTCTCTAGTATTTTCACCACAGCGAGCGGAGGAGCAAATAGCGAATTGGATCTCTCGCTGGGTACATGTAAGAATTACACACGGTCAGCAAAAATCGTCTAGAGCAAGGTTTTTCTACCTCCACTATTCAAATTGGGCGTAGAGGGTTAAGCAGGGGTGTTGCAGGAGATGCTCTAAGATTTCTTTTCTTTTCTTTTTTCTTTATACCAGCTGGATTGAGATCTTCCTCTTTTTCTGTACCACGGCTGGCCGGATTTTTCTGTATCACGGCGACAAGCACGCACAGAACGCCCCCAGCCACCACTCCTCCCTTGGAGACTCCGGAGCAGTCGCGAACCCTCTCTTTCGCCAGCGAGCCCCACGCACATGAATGAATGGCCGATCCCTCCCTGTCTCGGATCGCGACCACCCGCCGGCGAGTCGGCCGCGCCCACAGCCCCACCCCCACTTGGATGCTCAGTGGCCGCCCGACCGATCGACCGGTGCCCGCGGGTTGTGGAAAAACGCTCGTCTGATCCCGACGGGCGGCGGCCTGACCTCCGAGCAGACGACACCGCACGCGCATACGTACATGCACAGAGCTTTCGAGACGGCGGCGTCCGCGCCGCGACGCCGACGCCGGCCGGACGAACCGGACCGCGGGAAAAGATCGCGGGCACGCACGACCGCGCACGTCAACCAGAGATTCCCGACCACTCGATGATCCTCTCGTCAATGACGCCACGTACACGATATTTATCGTCGCTTCTTATCTTCATTCACTCACCTCTGTGCCGCTGTCCACTGGGCCCGTCACGTACGTCTTGCTGCGCTTATATAACCGACCGGCTCGGTGTCTAGGTGCTAACGGCATGTGGTTCGGCAACAACAACACAAGAGGTACCCGAGAGAGGTAGCAGAGGCGTGCGTGCTAGTGCTACGGCGCAGCAGCAGCGGCCATGAGCAGCGGGAGCGACAGCACCACCACCAGCAGGTGGCCGGAGCTCGCCACCCTGCGCGCGCTGGCGCGCGACGCCGCGGAGCAGCTGCAGCTGCAGCTGCCGCGCGTCGCCATGTCGGCCTCGGCGGGTGCGGCAGGCGGGAGGGAGCCGACGAAGCGGCAGCCGGCGGGGTGGCGCGGGCGAGACCGAGAGGACCACGTCCACGGCCACGGCAAGACGGCCAAGGTGATGCACCTGCTGCTCTGGGGACCCAAGTGAAGTGAGGCCGGGCATGTCCTCCAGTCCTCACCGAGGTCTCGTGGCGGCGGCGTTCGCTTCGATCTCTGCCTGTGTTTCTGCTGCCGATCCGGCATCTGGCCGCACGGATTGTTCTGGCGATCCGGCATATCCTTCCGGCCGCACGGACTGTACCTATATATACTACTACTGCTGTACCATACTGGTGTATTGTATGTACTAGTAAACTGCTGCTTCCTTGTCTTCTTGCACCACTTTGATGTTTGCTCGATCGACTGCTCGTCGCATCGGTCAGTTTGGGTTTCAACTGTAAGCTCTAGTAAGCTGTAGCGTAGCCTATACAGGCTATAACTAAGCTTCTTCTTTTTGTTTTGTTTTGGTACATACTGTAGTAAAGTTCGTGAACGTGAGTGGTGTTACACTGTTACTAGGTGTGGTTCACTGGTTTGGACTTGATTTGAAGCAGCAGATTGATTATTACCCTCACGGTCTGTAATGTAAGAACGCGTGCTGCTGCGTGTGAAATTCAACTTACCAAAGTTTTTTGTGTATATATGTCGTCAATAACTGACTTCCATCATCCAGCACGTCTAATTTTCCTTTATTTGGGCTTATTTGGCTGCACTTCAATCCACCTAATCCAAACGTATTGGATTGGAAATTATACAGATTGATTTAGTAGATTAGAGTGCAACTAAATAAGACCTTTCAGATTTTAGGGGAAGAGAAGAGTTGCTCGTTCCAAGTCAAGATTGGAAAGGTGCCTTTTTATCTGAATTTTTCTTCAAAGCTCATGCTTACCTTAGTCAGAGGAGGCGTGGACGGAGCTAGAGCAAATCCAAAAAAAAAAGATGCACTTATTTTTTGGGTGCAATGATACCTCAGTCTTATTAATAGTCTATATCTAGAAAAGAAGAATGCTTGAATGTTTCTTTAAGTTGGTTATTTGGGTGGGGGGAATCAAAAAGAGAAAGTGGAAGACAGAGATTACTTTTTTCTTTTTGTTTTTGAAACTGGAAAAAAGGGATTCTGAAATATTAGAAAAGGGGAGAAAAAAGGAAAAGTGGACAGAGGACATTAAATATTTAAAAAATGAGTGGAAGAGGAGGAGATTGTAAATATCTAGCCTCGGATCTTTGCATCGATCGAAGTGTGTCCACATATAACTATATTTGTTTAGAAAAGAACACAGCATAGATTAAACTAAATAGTCCACACCTTAATTTTTTAAACAATGAAATAAGTGAAAATGGAAATGTGATTTTTTTCATTCGAGACAGATAAAACCTACACATGTTTTTATAGAGGAATAGAGCATTGTGATTGCCATATATTTGTTGAAATTTATATGCTCCGCCCCTGACCTCAGTCTTATTAACACAGTCTATCTAGGAAAGAAGAAAGATTACATGTTTTTCTTATTTTATAGTTTCAACCCACACCTTCATTCTTTAAGAAAAATAGTTTGATCGCTTAGTTTCTTTAAGGTTGTCCAAGTTATATGGGGGGAAATCAAAAAGAGAAAGTGGAAGAAAGAGATTTTGAAATATTTGGAAAAGGGGTTCCAAAGGGAAAGTGAACGGAGGACATTAGATATTTAGAGAAATGAGTGAAGGAGGAGGAGAGATTGTAAATATCTAGCCTCGCGTCTTTGTATCCTTAGAAGTGTGTCCACATATAACTATATTTAGAAATAAACACAACTTAGATTATACTAAATAGTCCACACCTTAGTTTCTATAAACAATGAAATAAAGAAAAATGGAAATGTGACTTTTCATCCGAGCCAGAAAAAACTTAAATGAAGATATATACACGTTTCTATAGAGAAATAGAGCACTGTGATTACCATACTTGTTGAAATTTATATGGAAATATAATTTATTACTATTTTGTGAGAAGAAATATATATACTACCTGTTATTTTGAGTGAATCTGTACACCATAGTAGACCTACTAAATTGTGCACTCCGACAATGCGTCCAAGCGGAGACGGCACGTCACAAAAGGGCCTGCAATCTTCCCAAGGGAAACATAAAGCCCACTTCACTGTTTCCTGTGATAGCTCGACCGCGCTAAAGGACCCAAAGCCCACGCGCGGGGAACAACGAACGATGGACTCTACAATTAGTACCAAACCGGCTAGCGAACGAAGCAAACATCAGCTTATAAGTCTAGCTGCAAACACCTATAAAAGTAGAACGATATATAGAAGATTAACTTGGTCTCTGCAAGGCTGACACGCACAGATCAAAAACTAGTGTCAACTTTTTGCGATTTTATGCGCTGGTCCCTGGTCACTTTTATTGGCCTTACAAGTACACCCCTGGCTGCATGTTTTTTGGCTGCGCATATGCCCCTGAAACATTCTTTACAGGCCCTCCTGACTTCTGCAGTGCTACATCAAGGTACATAACTTTTTGGCCCATTCACATGCCACTCCCTGGGTGGGTGGCCTCTTTTTTTTTTTTTTGCCTTGCAGATATGCCCCCAGCCCCTCTTTTTGGTCAGCTATTCACCACCCTCCGGTTAATAATGTAATACACCTATTATACTCTATATAACAACTATTAGAGGAAGAATGCACCAAATTAGTACACCTAAGTAATACTAGTACTAGTGTGTTTATGTAAGTAAAGTTTTTTTTTAAAAAAAAAACATCTCTAATCTCAAGAGCTAAAACCGCCATATTCACCTTTATATGTCCAGATTATAATGATTTAGATTTATCAAATATATAAAACAAAGTAAATAAAAATCCAATACAGATATAAACTATTAGAGAATGAGATAATGGCGTAGTGTAGAATTCAATCAGTGTTAAAACGAACTTTTGTCATGATAATAAAAAAACAATAAAGTCACACTAAACATCTATGGGTTGTGGGTTGGATTGCATGCATGCACTTTGGGTTCCACGACACTCCCTTCCCATTGTGCTCTATGCGACTATGCTTACCATCTTAGCATGTCCTGTTAGGGCGTCCTCTTCCTCGACAATCTATCTAGCTTGCTAGCCATTTGACATCCACGTCATCTCAAGAGCTAACACAACAATTCATCTACCCCAACAGTTATATGCAGAGCACACCATCCAAAAGCAACACGAGTACTATTTTCATATTTTTATGGCTCCTAAGGAGAGAAGTGGAGGGAGAGACGTGGAGAGAGAGTAGGACCTCGCGTGGTGTGTCAGATGCCCTCGGGGCAAACAAAATGCCTAGCGAGGAACTCGTCGCCAGCATCAAGTTTTTTTAGCTCTCTCTCTCTTCCACGTCAACGAGAATCCAACATCAACTAGCTCCGAGATAGATTGTTGGGGGATGCCCAGCCTTAAACCCGTTGGGCCCTACTTTTTTTTTCGAGGGAACATGAGGGACTCGGGCCGTGTTCGGCTGGCTGGCTGGCAACCACCTCATAAAATCACTATTCACGTCTTGCCAGAACAATATTTTCCTCTCACAACAATCAGCCGAAACAGTATTTTTCAGTCCTGCCGAACAGGCTTTCGGGTAGTCTCTACTGGAAATTTATTAGAGTAACCAAGAAGATTAAAACAAGCAAAAGTTTTACAAGAAGTCTATGAACAGAACATGTCGATACCGCAGGCAGACCGAAGTTCAGAAAAAAAAGAAACAAAGAAAATTAAAACAATTACAGAGAGTGATCTAGCCATAATTCAATTGAAGGAAAGTATTTCTTTTTAGCCCTCCATAGGAGCAAGCCAAAAGTGTGCCTGAAAAAATTTGAAGCCCTTTGAACGGTAGCAGGGAGTCCTCTGAAAATGGCATCATTCCTAATAGTCCAGATACTCCAACTCATAATGATGATGATTTCCATAAAAAAGTTGACATTTAGCTGCATTCTGATACTCTCGAAGATCTGCAAAGGGTATTGGGCCCCACTTTCTAGCTTCTCCTCGGTGGAAAGGTTTGATATCGATAAACGAAAAATAGGTGAACAGAACATGTCGATACTAAGGATCACGGCTTAAATCTAATGGCTTTCATGTTGGTGACCTAGTCTATGAACAAGTTCCTATTGTCGAGGTTGTGATCAAATCATGAAAGTATATCGACTTTTCACATATTACATGCAGTTGATCGATGGATTCGCCAATGCGTTTTTGTGAGAAGCTTGCAGGAAGGCAACATATATCGTTCGGCTTTTCCTTTGTGAGTTGATGATTTTGGCAATGTTTGGGGGGAGACTAACTATGAATTCGCAAGAGAAGGCACAAGATGATCCAAGTTTAAATTTACAAGGGGACCAAGGAGCTAGACACAATGAACAATGGTTTTATCAAGTATGTAGCTTACCAAGAGGAAAGAAGGTTACCTTCATTGGCGGAAATTGCACAACCATGAGATAAGAGTGGGAAAAATAAGAGTAGAGGCAGGTAATAATAGTTTTAAGCAAAGAATTTGTTTAATGATAATATATGGAGGTGCATGGAGAGGGAACAATTACATTCAAACACATAAGCGAAACTATCTGCGCTACTCAAGAAAAAACTCAAATGTTAGAATAGAAAAATCTAGATATCCTTACAATTTGTGCGGATCATCTTGCTAGTTACAAGACATGCTAGGATTATGATCAATCTACAACAAACATTCAGATATGTTCTGCACCCTAGCTATTGAGTAATATATAATGTACTGTAATTGACTTGGGTTTTGTTTACTTGGCCCTTGTGTATGTAATTTCCTTCTCATCTGCCTGCCTACTAATATATACCCTCAAAGAAAAGAAAAGACATGCATTGTGCAATAAATGGAAAATGGATGATCAGCTCATCTCTAGCGCTATCCTCTTCCTCATCTCGGCGCTGCGGGCGTCATTGCTGGTGTCGATGACGAACTTCCGCCAGAACCAGTGCTTCTTCCAGACGTGCGCCATCTCCTCGACGGGCACGTTCTTGGTCTCTGGGAGCAGCATGGCGATGAAGAGCGTCATGAGCAGCACCCAGGCGCCGAAGAAGTAGAAGAGGCCGAAGCGGAGGTGGCAGAGCAGCGTGAGGAAGATCTGCCCGATGAAGGCCGTGAAGAACATGTTGACGGATGCCGTGATGCTCATCGCCGCATTCCGCACCGCCAGCGGGTAGATCTCGCTGGGGATCAGCCACCCCATTGGCCCCCACGACCACGCGAACCCTGCCACGTACACGCACACGAACAGCACGATGCACATGGCGTACTGCTCTGAGATGTCCCCCGTCCCGCTCATGCCGAACTGCAGCCCGATGAACGTCCCCACAAGGATCTGCCAAGCATGGATGATCGATCGATCATGTGGTGAAGAAATTCAAAAGAAACCTTGTGAGGTAATGGCGGCCATGCATGTACCTGGGAGATGATCATCTGCGTTCCGCCTTGGAGGAAGAGCGCGCGGCGGCCGACCTTGTCGGCGGTGACGACGGCGACGAAGGTGGAGAAGACGTTGACGAGGCCGGTGATGACGGAGGACACGAGGGTGGCGTTCTGCTTGAACCCGACGGTCTTGAAGAGCACCGGCGCGTAGAACATGATGACGTTGATGCCGGTGAGCTGCTGGAAGAAAGGGATGAGCAGCGCGAACGTCAGCTGGGGCTTGTACTTGCCGCCGAAGAAGAGCTCTCGCCAGGGGCTCTCCACGGCCTTAGCGTCCTCGCTCGCCGTGGACAGGTCGTCGAACTCCTCGCGCACGTCGCCGACGCCCCGGATCTGGAGCAGCGTCTTGCGCGCCGTCGCCGTGTCGCCGCGCTCGATGAGCGACGTCGGGGTGTCCGGGATGGCCAGCGCGCCCAGCGCGATGACGGCGGCCGGGATGGCGCCGAACGCCACGGCGATGCGCCAGCCCCAGCCGCCCGGGACCTTGGACCCCAAGTAGTTGGTCATGTTCGCCGTCAGGATGCCCACCGTGATCATGAGCTGGAACATGATGTTGAGCATCCCGCGCTGTTGCGCCGGCGCCATCTCGGAGATGTAGAGCGGAGCCGCCTGCGAACACGCACGCACGCGCGAGCATCAGCGGCAGATACCTCATGAACAAGCTAGTTTTCGGAGATGCCGCGTCGCTCACTTGAATGGAGATGCCGACGCCGGCGCCGACGAGAATCCGGCCGGTGAGCAGCATCGGGAAGTTCACGGACACGCCGCCGATGCACGCGCCGGCCACGTACGCGGACGCGGCGGAGAACAGGGTCCACTTCCGTCCGAATGAACGGGTCATTGGGCCGGCGAAGAAGGCGGCCACCGTCGCGGAGAGGAAGAGGGAGGAGCAGAACAGCGTCAGGATCTGGCTGTCGAACTTGCAGTACTGGTTGACGACCACCTGCTTCTTCATCTCCTCGTAGATGGAGGGGAAGAACTTGACCATGTATGGCTCCGACGACGTCAACCCGGCTTCACGATCACCACGGCGGCGACAGTGACAACAACAACCGTACGACGTCAGAGTCAGAGCAAGCCCCTGCTAGCTGGAGAAGAGATCATAGCTAGCTTGATTCTACGGTGGATCGCTCACAGGTGAGGCCGATGTCATAGCCGAAGATGCAGCCGGCGACGGAGGCGATGAGGCACGAGAAGACGACGATGCCAGTGAGCTCGCCGGGGTACGTCTTGTACCTCGTGTGGTGGTGCACGATCACGGCTCCCGGCATTGTGCCCGGTCACGGCTCCGGCGGCGGCGACGCAACCAATTAAGCAACCAGTCGCTGGCGACAGTCACAGACCGGTCGGTGATATATCAACGGCGGCTGTCTCGACGGGGGGAGAGAGGGGTGGTGCGGCGAGCGAGCCCCTCCTGTTGGTCCTTCACGCAGCCAAAGAAGAATGCGTCAAGGCCGGAGCAGTGAGCACTTAAACCGGGGAAGGGCTCGGCGAGTGGCGCGGCGGCAATGGTGGTGAGCGATTGGCAAAGCTGCCGTCCTGTCCTAAATCGTCGGACGCATGCTGGTCGCCATGCGCGCGCTCTCTCCGGTGCTAGTCGTGTCGTGTTCGTGTCGCCCCCAAGAATGTCTCCATTGTTTCAAAGTCGACCACGATTTTGCAGCTCCTTTCCGATTTTAGCATGTCGCATGCATGCAGCCTGTTCGTCGTCGTCGTGTTCCAAGTTCTGCTGTAGGAAGAGTGTCATCGAACATTCCGGGGGCAAATGCAAGCTCCTTTGCTCCCTCTGTCGAATGCAGTGAAGTCTTGCGAACCAAGGAGGGAAAACTAGTTGGGATACAAGATGGGGTATAGTGGGTAGTGCCTCAGGCTTGTTTGGTTGCACATTAATCCATCGGGGTTTACATGGTTTGGGAGAAAATTGTTATGCAACCAAACAATGAAACAAGTGCTGATTGGTTAAAAACTTCGAGATTCCACAATAATTCCTTGAAAGAAATTCGATTTCATACAAAACCGTCCAGAGAAGCTTTTGGATGTTTTCTTTTCTCCAATATGTAAAAGATTTATGCATCTTCGTATCAAGGAGTTTTAGTTTACAACACCATGCATTGGGTGACCAAGCGCCCTAGGAGTAGGAGGTTTAGAGAGTGAACAAAAAGCACATAACCATCATAGGATTGAAACCAGTTCAAGCCTGGTAATCTCTACAACTAAAATATACGTAGGGCAATCATCCACCCGGCTTTCACCTCCCCTCCCCTCGTGAATGTCCACCTGACTTTCACCCCGCCTCCCCGCGCGATACTTTGGCCCAGCCAATCACTCGATCAATCCCACGCTCACCGAGTCGCCAATCTCAGTACATAAGGATTTTTTTTTTTGAAGATCAGCATCACGCAAGGATGGACATGCAAAAACCTAGCTTGGGGATGGGGGGTGGACTCCTACATGCTCATTGTAACGCTAGGTTTTTAAAACATGCATGTGTAGTGTAGAGTCAATTTTCGCAATGGGAAGGAGAGACCAATAATTGCAACCTTATCTATTGCCAAGAAATGCGAACCGCCAGTGTCCGCATCATTAGGGCGTCCCCAGTGATATTGACGATGTAGACAGCTGATGTGGAACAGAGAGAAAATAGAATGATTATTTATATATTCTCTCTCATGCTTAGTTGTTCCTTCGAGGCAGCTTGCCCCATCTCTTGTCTCACGCTATGCTTTGCTGTTCTCAATAGCCTAGCAAGTTTGCCGTCACTAGCGAGCATGTATTCTAGCTTTCTCTCACCTCCACGTTTGCATCTAGCTAGCTCCGAGCTTCCCGTTGAGGACGCCCTTAGAGAGAAGGGCCATGGCCCAGACCGGCCATGTCATGCTTGAATAACATGAGCACTTTCATGATACTAAAAGATTCAGGATCAGGAGCTTGCCTAAACTCAGAAGCCTGCTTAGCTTACGTGCAATTTTGTGAAGCCTCTCAAGTTTCAAAGCACTTGACTGATGACTGGAGAAGCAACTCCATCACTGCAGTCTCTTCTGTGATGCACCGGGTGGGTGCTAAGCTTAAGTTTAAGATCGGCGGCCACAGCCACACGCGGAGGTTGTCGGTTATGGATGTCGACGGCGGTGGTGCACCGCCGCACCGAGGCCGAGGCTGGAGGGGACACGTGGCCGGAAGCCCTGCTGATAGGAGTGAGTGTAAAAAAAAAGTTGAGACATGCTTGACCGTTTCCATAGTTCAAATTTTAATTTATATAAACTTCTAGGTACAATAAGAACCTCTTTAATAACATGGACACAATAGGCCCACTAAGAATCATGGCGCAATGAGCAAGATGTACTGGAGTTTTGCATTTTACATTTCACCAGTTTCAAGTCCTTCGTTGCTTTAGAATTGGCACAGACAAAGATTAACCTGTCCAAATAAAAGTCTAGCAACTTCAATCATTATTCCACCTTTGCTGGTTCACTATCAGAATTCAGTTCGTTCATTCCTTCAGAATTGGCAAACAAAGATTAACCTATCCAAGTCAAGCAACTTCAATCATAATTACACCTTTGCTGGTTCACTATCAAAATTCAGGGTAAGATTGCACTTCATTGGAGCTTTCAGTTCAACATCCGAGCCAGAGTTAGCCAAAACATAAAGCATTTTTTTACTGCACACCATATAATAAAAAACAAAGGTGAACCTTGCAATAAGGTCTGACTTTAACCCCCGAATTTCCACAATCTCGGGTTCCTACCAGACTGAAACAAGCAAATTTCAGATTAATTTCTATCCCTGTGTCAGCTGAGAGGGCCTACCCTGTTATTTATAGCTCTGTCGAGGTACCAGCATGTAGGAATTTCTTTTATGTAGCACCAAAACATTAGTAATATATACTCCCTTCCACAATTTGAATACTCAGAATCAAACTAACATAAAAATTGCAGTAACTTTGTGTTCTTCAATCCATGAGATTTCTAGCAATGTTCTCGTACAACTGAAGGGCTATTGCATGAGCATCCTCTATATCAGGAGGCCAATGGCTTCACCGCCTCCCTGGCGTGCACGTTAAATTGGGTCTTGCTGTTAGGATGGCACACACTCCGGATCCTTTCAACAGCCTCCATGATCTCCGAAGAAACAGGGGCAAGTGGTACCGTAATGTCCACCCTTTTAAGGGTTGTCGTGTTGCATTTAGACAGCAACAATTTCATAAATTGCTCATGTTCATCTGAACCTGTAAAGAATTTGATTCCAATCTCTTCAAGTGAATCAAATGTGATACCATCCAGCCTGTAATTCTCTGGCAGAAGACAAGGACAGCCTGACACAGAACAAGATGTCTTCTGAAAATAAGTAAAAAAATGTTAGCAGACAGGACATGTCTCGAAGAAACAATGCTAATGTTTGCCCTTTTGGAGGAGAGCACCCGACCTAGTTCTCAACATGAATGTATGTGATATAGCATGCGTATTGGTACCCACTACTGTTTTGGGTTTGGATTAATTAAGTTCTTGATTTCCTATGTTATACAAACTTTCTTACATGAAACCTATATCGACTAGACTAACTATTGTGAATCAGCTCCCTCTTCTCACTCTCCTCCCTTGTGTAGACTAGACCAACCATATTGCATTTGTTTTTTAGGGGAAAAAAAAAAGCTGTTAGTTAATTAGTTGATGTGTTGTGGCATTGCATATTGAACTGCTAAACGAATTTTTCCAAATAAGAACCAGATAATTTTTCGGTCAAGTCCTTTGTCTACGATAAGAAACTGTATTTAACTTCTCTCCTTTTGAGGAATAAGTGTGTTTATTTTAACTCTTTTTTCTTTTGAGGAATAATGACATTTAGTTTTAGCAAAAAAACAAATGTTAACTGCATATAGCAAAGTAAAAGGTAAACAAATACAAAATGTAGATACAAAAGGTAAAGAGAATGAAACCAATACTGGGAAATGAAGAAAATACCATGGATAAATGCGCTATAAATTCGTTTTTCAAAGAAGATAAAGGCAATATACAAACATACATCATGTTCAACTGAATTTGACAACTCCAAAGACAGCAACACATACCCTCCATGCAAAGAATATCTCTCTCTGCATCAAATGACATAATATTGACTCCCACAATGGGAGAGCATGATTTAAGAGTCATGACATTCCGTACAAAAGGTTGGCCTTCTCCTTGATGTGTAACCAAGTTAGCTATCTATTTAAATTCAAAGGAGTAAATCAATAAATTATAACCATAAAGACCTGTATTGAACCTAAATGGTAACAAGTATCAGATACATGAAAATGAGCTCAACCTGAATAACAAGATCATGAGTTGGTTCTGGGAAATGACCTTTGCGGCCAGCACATTCAATATCAAAACTTAATATGCGAAACGGGGCCATCTTAGAATATTCTCCTTCAGCAGCATGACTTACCAGATCTGAGTATCTGTTAGTTGTATTAAGAATAGACATAACTGAACAACACCGCAGTTTAGTAAATAGATGAAGCATTCAATTAATAGAAGGATACAGGCAATCTAGCTCTAGCTGACAATAGGACATGACACGGGCTGCTTTCCTGTATTTCCCAGCAGGAAGTTCAATCCAGTTGCCACCAACAATATTGCAATCAATCATAAAACGAAGGGCAAAAAGAATGTTGCTTTCATATGTCAGGAAACTCTTCGAGCCAAGGCCTTCAATCGTTATTCCCCTTTCCAGGATACCTATAATGTGCAAACAATTTAAGCCAGCAAAGAGAAAAAAAAAGTGACTAGTAACTTGGATGATCAGAGGAATAAAGCAAAATCATAAATTCACATGATAATACATTGACATGGAACCAAAAATAAAATTGCTCCGTAGGTTATCCATTAAATAAATAAAAGATAGTGGGGTCAATCTACAAGACTTAGCAATAATAGCTGTATTGTGTCTTAAGAGTGCCACTAACCACGACAGCTAGCAACCATGGTAGGCAAAGCGACTACTATCTTGAGGAAAGGCTGAGATTGCTGCGTTTGGTAATGCATAATTGTCTGCTTCTGCACAAGCTCAACTCTCTTCACGAACCTTGGAACATTGCTGCTTCTATTTGACTCCTTCATCCTCCCCTGTAGTACAGTTTGAATCAACCATAAGGAAACCATGTACTGCCAAAGTACTATGTTTCCTTAGAAGCTCAGTTCAAGGTAATGATTGTAAGTACATACCTCTAGTGTTTGGTGAAAGCGTGATATATCATCAGGACCCATCCCTGAAGGACAGCCAATATAGAAATATGGCTCAAATCCATGCACCTGACAGCATATGCTGTGACCTACAAATGTTACAGGGGTAGCATCAGAGGTCAGCAAAAATCATATGACAATGATAATTCTTTACTGAAAGATAATAGGGCACTCAAGATATTACCTTCTCTGGTAACACCAAAAATCCTGAGTATGGCTGCCGAACCAGATGAGTTGGGGAGCAATTCTTTGTGGCTCTCACCAATAACATAATCTATTTCCAACTGCTGAAAAGCTAGAATATCCAATACAAACAGAAGAGTAGCAAATGTAAGATGAAGTCAAATATCCTGAATATATGTTCATCAAGTTCAAATTAAAACAAAATTAGGTGACTATCTATTTAAGTAGCAAGAAACATTGAATCTGAATGAGCATTGAGCATGTACAAGTGGACTGCTAAGCAAGTCCTGAGTTTGAACTTTTAAGGCTCATAACTCATAAGTGAATCAAAAGTTTATAAACATATATATGAATATAAACGTAAGTTTGATAGAAAATATGTTCAATTCATAAATTAATTCAGAAGTACCAAAATTTGGAAAACTGAAGTGATCTTATGATCTTCTCTATCATGATTGATTATAATATCCATCTCAATTGGCAGGTGATACAATCAGAATTTTGTGCTAGGACTATGAAATTGTACAAGACAAAAAATAGAGGTCTATGAGATACTTCTGGGAAGGCAGGAGTTGTACTCATCTTTCAAAATTAAAACTCTTATCCCTTAATTTGAAATTTGCATCTATGATTCAACGATTGCTGCTAGTTGCATCACTCATAATTACAAAAAACAGTCACAGTTTTGAAGTGCACCAAACACTGAAAAGGTGCCTTTCTTCCTGTCCCAACTGCCCTGGGATACAACAATGGCAAACAATAAACTTCACTAATAAACCTGATATACAAACACACATATTAGTCCAAACGAATAATTCCTCGTTTTTTGCCCAAAGTTGCACCAAAGCACCATGATCCAAAGTCACTGAACGCTACAAATCCCAAGAGAAACCACATATCTGCACAAAATTTTGCCGAGCTCCAGATCGATCAAGGCAACTTAACTAACACAGTGCTACCAAAAATATGAACCCTATCCAAATGACAGTAAATCATTCTCAATCCGCCAAAGTAGTACTGAATCCAAACCCCAACGCACTCCCCAGTCCCCACGCAGCCTGCCAGACCCCAACCAACCCATCTCGGGACACTGAATCCATTAAGACCCGGATCAGGAGGGCGAGCAACGGGAGAGAAAAGGGAGACCGGGTCGTGGGCGCTTCCACCGCGCGAGGCGGGACGCGAAGGCCTCATCGCGCTGGAGCATCAGCAGCGCCGCCTCGTCCTCCGCCAGGATGGACTCATCCAGGAACACGTCTTCGTCCATCATGTCCTCCTCCTTCGCCGCCGCCGCCGCCGCCGCGGGAGGAGGAGGCTGCGGCAAGCCGGGGCTGGGGTTGGCTCTCTTCGCCGCCGCCCCGGAGAGAGCGGGGGGCGGGGGACCCCGCCGCTTGCCGCCGCGCCCGCCTGAGCTCATCGCGGGATTGGAGGACGGGGGTGGGACCGGGAGTGGGAGGGGAGGGAAGAAAGTGGCGCCTTCCGCCGATGATTCCCGCCCGATTGGCCGGTTGTTTCACGTGAACACCAGTGCTTTTGTGTATTGGGCTGTTTATTTTCTGTTTGGGCCTTTTTAGGATGCTTTGGCCCATGCGGATGATTTGATACAATATATCGCTGCCACGCTGCGTTGCCCTCCGGCCTCCGTCATCGTGTGACTGTGTGAGTAGTAACTCTGGACATAATTAATCGAACACCGAAGACCGAACCAAAAAGACCGAGACCGAGACCGAGACCGAAAAGTTCAGTCATGAGTTCGGTCTTGGCTCCCAACTAACAAGTAATCGATGAAGTTCGGTCATATATGTGAAGTGACCGAGTGGCCGACTGTGCCGAGACTTCATTCGTAATGTCATTATGTGTGATTGTGATTTTCTGAGAAAGTTTGTGCTAGAACTTGTCATAATAATGTGTGGTTTGTTTTATATATTGTGTTGTTGTTTTTTTTGCCTTTAATCTTTGTTGAAAAATGTTATAGATTCTCGCTATTTTCTTTTTTATTCCTTAGTTCGGTCGTGACCGAGACCTTTCCCGAGACCGAACTTCCTCGGTCTTCGTTTTTTGAAACCGATCGGTCCTAGGTTTCACACGCCAATTTCCAAGATGAATGATCGAGAACGAACCAATTTTTTATTATTTTTCAATGCCTTGGTGAGTGAGTAGGTGTCGTTGTTTTTCTTTCTATTTTTAATTTAACTTATTTTTCTTTAATTTATTTTCTTTTTATTTCCTTTCTTTTTTACTTATTTTATTTTCTTTCTTTTTACATATTTTTATTTTATTTCTTTTTACATATTTTTATTTTATTTTTTATTCTTTTCTTTTTTGTTTTCTTTCTTCGCTTCTATTTATCTTTACTCTTTAATTTATTTTTTCTAAGGTTCTTTATTCTTATTTTTGGTGGTTCTTGTCTGAATCTAGATGGACTCATTTTTTGTGCTTGTTTGCTAGTACATGCTCTCGTTATCTAGTTGTTGATAAATTTGATGCTTCTACATAGTCTGCACGATCAACATCAACTAATTATAATAGATAACCGGAGCTTCTACTATCAAATAAGCACTCAAATGAGTCCATCAAGATTCATTAATTTTAAGCTAGGCATCATAAGATAGAGCATGATTTTTTTAAAGTTGTTTCATAATTTTCTGAGCAAAAACAAAATTTCTATGATTTTTCTAAGATTAAACTAGATTTTAGAATTTTTAATTGCATTATTTTCCCAAGTAATTTTTTTGGATATTTTTTTTGAAAATTTAGTTATATTTTTTGGACATTTTAAATTTTCTAGTCTGATTTAACTCTTGAACTTTCAATTTGATTCGATTTATTACCCCCTCTGATAGGACGTCACATCAGCAAACCACCGTCAAAACCGCTCAGTGTGCAAAAATGAATGTTTTTTAAAGTTGAGGGGGTTAAAAAAAACAGGTTTTGTAGATTAGGAAGGAAAATCGGACGACCATGATAGTTGAAACAGGTGAATTAGATCTTTTCCTATGACAAAGCCTTAAAAGATACAATGAAGATGGAATCCCTTGTTTTAAATGTAAATTGAGTTAAGCATCAAATATCTACTAAATATATGCCCGTGCGGTGCAACGGGGGTCATGATTTTTGGATAGAATCTCAATAATCGAACGCGGACGTGTGACCTTGAGGACTTCGTATCGGACATGGACATGTGAGTCCAGCCTTCGTATCAGAACCAGCTAGGACGTGGACATGTGAGCTCCAAGTGAAAGATGATTCGTATTGGACAAAGACGCGTGAGCAGAGATCAGTTACATTAGAATCTTTTCATGTGTATAGATAAGATTTGGTTCATCCGCTAAAGTATTTTTCGATTTATAAAATTTTCAATAAATTTAGCGTAGGTCAATACCGGTCTATGTGCATCTCGTAATCATATGCTATGGTATTCTATACCCTCGTCTCTCTCTGCCTCTTTCCCACGTATTTCATCGAGTGGGTTGTGGACTTGTGGGAGGTTAGAGGAGTAGTACCACAGCCTTGGCAGCCCCGCGCTCGCCAACGTCAATCGCACGACTCCCTCGGCCCCGAGCTCGCTGGCCGCATGACGCCCATGCAAATACACTAGTAATTACTCAGGAATTAAACAATTGCTCAGTCACTTGCTGGAACATAGCAGGGTACACTGTCAAAAAAAAAAAAAATACTAGACGATCCTCAGTTAAAATAGATAACAGGCGATAGCTTTCAATCATTGGACAGGTGAATCCACCTTTCTTGCTGTTGATATTCTACAGACAACAGATCCTACTCTGCCCTCTTCCTGTTGCTCAGAGAACTTCACCAGCTCTGAACCTACAACTCTTTTGTCTATCATCAACATGACAACACATCTTCACCTCACCGCGCTGCTCAAGTGGCCAGAGATTCTTTGTGCTCTCCTCCAGCTCCCTCGTTGCCTGAACAGTCTCTCCCTTTTGCCGATAGCCTGGCACCGCACTGGTCCTTGAACTGTCCATAGCAACTGAGCCCGATTTCAGACTGTTCTTGAATGGAACCACCTGAATCATGAGATGGATGCTGCAATTCCCATCTATGCCTAGGTTGATACAGAACTCCTGAACTAGGCGGCAACTGGCACTGATGGCAACCCACTCTTCACGTGAAGTCTTTTCACTGAACAAACTGAAGAGCCGCCATAGTTCATATACACTCGAAGCTGCTGCCACTCACGTTTAGGCTAGGGCAGAGTTGTTGAAGCTTGTCATCCTCCAAGTCCTCTGTGGATGACACTATGACAGTGACTTCGAAATTCTCAGTAGTATCTTGCAGGGACGACATTGTGCTACCTCCATCGCTGCACTCACGTAGCCAATACAGTCTACATATGTAACTCTGTGGTTCTTGTGGCTGGGAGGCGTGGAGGTGGATACACAACACAGAGCTGGTAGATTTCTGTGTTGCTGTTCATCTTGTAGCTCTAGTAGCCTGCAAAATAGATGCAGGGTTATGCCAAAATGAATGGATCAGCTGGCGAAACCAAATGCTTGATCTGTCGTTTTTGCACCCACTGGCTCATTCGGTTGCAACCCTGCGTCTCTGCCCTGCTTTGCCCATTGCCAGCCACAAGCTCGTGGAACCTGGTGCTCTGCAGCGACAGTGGGATGGGTGGATGCAGACGTGCAGTGGGGAAAAAAAGGTTACAGCTAATTGTTAAATACTGTACCTGTATTCTCGTTATGACTTGTGATATGTTCCACCATTATCCGTTCTGTAAGTGCCTTTTTACAGAATAAAATAATATGATAAAAGTTGGGTGCACATTTACCTTTTTCTCATTTGTCTATCCTGCAACCTGTTCGTTTGACTGTGGTTTGTCGTAAACGATCGTAAATTTTCAGTCAGAATAATATTTTTCTCTCACACAAACCAGCCAGCAGTACTTCTTCACAAACCAGCAACGATATGAACCAGCCAACCGAACAGGCTGCATGTGGAGGAAAGTTGCCTGCCACCAAAAGTAAGATATAAATTGCAGTAGACATGCTTGCAGTGAAAGAAACAGTGGCGTGCGTATGTGATTTACTGAACTATGGGCCTAAATATGAGTGTTATGTATCATATCAATGAACAGCTCAACAAATCTTAATAAAATGGTAAAAAAAAGAGAGAGAGATGGGATTTACTGAACTCTTATCCATCTGATAAAACCGAGGAAGGATGATGCACCAGTGCACCAAATGCAAAGTGCGGACCAAGAATTATTCAGGTTCAAGAGGACATGAGACAAGTTATTACAAGATAAATTTTAACACGAGGTGCACGTGATGGAAAAACGGCAACGGTTGGTGAGCACGGAGCAGGTATGGAGTGTGATTTTTTTAACATTTTTTTAAACTAATTTTAAATCTAACATTTTTTTTCAAAACTAACACTTTGGCGCGCCTATTGCCATGGCCGCGCCATGCATAGTGGCGTGGCGGGAGGATGACGTGGCGACGGGGATGCAGACCAGTGACATGGCAGAGTCTGTCACGGCACCGATCTTGGTGCGTCAGTGACGCACCCTGGTCGGTGGCGCGGCATAGCCGGATAAAAGGCCCGCGGCCTAGTCCCGACTGTCGCGCCCGCCACGTCCAGCCGCCTACTCGCCGCACCTTGTGGCGCCGCCGCCGCCTGCCTGCCGCCGGCCGCTCTTGCCCGCCGCTCCTACCGCCCGCCGTGGCCGCACGCCGCTCGCCGCTCCCGCCGCGCCTGCATGCCGGCGCGCCACCCCATCCGGCCGCCCGCTGCGGCCTCCGGCCACCACCCTCACTGCAGCGCCCGCGACTGCCGCCGCCACTTTCGCCACAACTGCTCCCAAAACATGTCTTCCATCTAATAAAACGGTTCAAATTAAACATCAATCAAAACAACACAAATTAATGTAAAATATAATCATTTGCATTGCAACTCAAATAATATAACCAACACTTATAGCAACAAAAATATACATGGTAAACATACTTCTAACTAAATAATTAACCTTAACATTGATAAAATCAAACTAATATCTTCCTCCAAACCATAGCCCATAGTTCCCAAACATAATTTTTCTCCTAACCTTAACTCCCATTCATCATATTCCAATCCACCGTTCAAACAAAAATAAAAAGTATGTCATTACCTTGAACGAGGCCGAGGAGGGAGGGAATGGAAGGGAAGGGAGGGAGGGAGGGAGGCGGCAACGGAGGGCCCGGCGCTGATAGCACTTGGGAGTGGCGTGGCGGTCGGGCGGGTGGACGCGGTGGGCAGACAGAGCGAATGCGTGGCAGGAGCGGCAGGCAGGTGGGACTGGGCCGCGGGCCTTTTATCCGGCTCTGCCGCGCCACCGATCAGGGCGCGTCACTGCTGCGCCAAGATCGGTGGCGCGGCAGACCCTACCATGTCACCGGTCAGCAGCCCCGG